GTAAAAGGGGCAGACGTCGAATTGAACTTTTCATGTATCGAATCAATATTAAGCTAAAGTCTTTGTTTACGTTCATTTGCATTCCATTTGACACATGAAAAGTTTGACGTCTGAAACAAGTCTAAACTTCAATCTCACGGCATTTTTACGACAGCAAACTGGGTTACAATGTATTCTAAATTTACGTCCCAGCCCCAAGGTTATATAGGGGAGTCATACCTCTTTTAACCAGTAACAATTTTCACTATTAATTGCTAAAAAAATTTCCTCAGCATACGAAAACTGACAAAGAAGCAGGAAAATATTCGATACGAGAAATTTACTACACTACAGCACGTTCGTGCACCTAGCTTCTACTCCAATGCTCCAATGCAATTTATATCCCATTAAGCAGTCGCCCCCCCTGGTCGCGAATATTTATATATCAACGGACTTCCCGAGGAAACGAGAGAACAAAGCCATAAACAAAGTCAAAGCGGTGAATTTAAAGACGAAGTACAGCATTTCATATCTGTTCATAACATGGGATCGATGGGAATTTAAAGCATAATCTTTCAATGAGGTAAGGATAAATTGTACATGAATACAACTTGCCTTTAAAAATGACATGAGCAAAAGATCGGAAAGTAATATTTGTGGGAGATATTGTAAACATTGAGAACGTGCTTATCATAAAGGGTATTATAATCTTTGACATCTGGCTTCAATTTTATCTCGCTTTTCGGGATAGTATGGTAAGCATTTGAATAGAATTTACAACGTGAATTGGCGAGATTTCGATTAAAACATTCAAGGCTTTACAATGTATGGTAAATAAAAAGTTTAAAGATGTTAATTTATAAAATCGAGACACGTTTTTGTTCATGAATTTGTCATGCGTTAAAGAAAACCGTCCACTCACGGTTTAAAACAATATATCTGCAAATAAACAAACGGTGATTCGTGCTAAACAATGTTTTTGTAACGGCACGATGCCACATTTGGTAAAAGGGATATTCGCACTGGACAAATACATCATCTAGCGTCCATAATTACAATTCTGTAAAGTCTGTTTGTTCTACTAACACGCATATGTATGCATTCGCCGATAAAAGATGCCTGCCTTTTTTAATAAGTACTCCGGAAGTTTTTAGTTTCGTGTTGTGTGTGTGAACAAGAGGGAATAGTAGCTTTTAAAATGCCAGACGGGTTAGCATATTCACGCAGAGTTGTTACATCAGTACATCACACAACAGTTCATAAATAGGGAAGGCAGGTAATGAATTAGGGACGCTCTAAAAAATCCTATAATCCTCAATTCGCGTCAAGCTCTTGAATAATACACTTAGCGATGCGTAATATATATCGTGAATTATGTAGTGTCACAAAATGGCGCCATGTCCAAGTATTATAAAGTATTTCAGTGCGGAACATTTCGTGTCCTGAATTTTCCATGTTCAAAAAACCGGGCAGGCACGCATAATTTGCAACATTTAAGTCACGCGACAAAAGAACACCTGGCAGTTCTATTAAATAAAGCGCTATTAGTACACAATAAATGCAATTTTATTGTCAAGCTATTTCCATTAGAATAGTTTTTTGTGGTTCTTAGCAGTGATACAATCGCGCGTGGGAGTTGAAATGGTATGTGGAAGACAAACCCGTACTGTGACTGAGCCGTCCATCCCATGTTTATATTTGAGAAACACTTGACACTTCAATCTGTACTAAATCTATATAGTTTTCTCAAGTGTATGCTAGCAGTGAACTTTTTCTATTTTCTATACGCATGTTAATGGCATTTGCTTTGCATTTGCAAATGACTTATGAGCAGTTATATATTTTAAGCAATAAAGTTGTTTTGTTATGATTTTAGCTTTGGTTGTATTTTAAATTTTTTTTTGTTTTTCCACACAGCTACAAAAATATGAATATACTTATTAGTACTTACATTATTTATTTATTTTGTGTGCTTCACCATTCTCATAAAATTTTTAATATAGAAGTGTTTATTATCCCTTGTGTACATATCATCATGGGCTGTAAAGTGTTTTTTTATTTCACAAGACTGGTTGTTTTGTACAATTACACTAATACCATTAACATAAATACCATAAAATAGTAAACATAGTAATACTGTGTATCATGAAAGAATTATCACATGTTGAATGCATGGTTAGAACAGAATGCAATGGCAGACCATTTCGCATGTCCTAAACTGTATTTTCCTCTTCGATAAGTTGAATTGTCAATTGTAGATAACGTTTTTATAAGGCTTCTTTTAACTTTATAACAGAGCATTGTTTTAAAAATAGTCAGAAAAATTATACTGTTAAAAATGTTCACATTTTTTTCAATTTCGCCCAGGGGGAGGGAGTTTATACAATTATACCAACAGAACCACAGAAGGTTGATTTTGTGAAGTTTCTACTTTCTAATAGAATCCATACGCCATTTTACCATATTTCAGTTTAACATTCAGTGATTCACAAATAAAGGAACATACTTTGTCTGCAAAGTGCAAACTACGTCTATATTGTCAAAGGTCCATATTCTCAACCAAAGAGTTACCTGATCCCAATCATAGAGATTGCTATGTATAATCTTTTGATAATACTCCCGGGGACGTGATTTCTTTTTTTTTATTCATCCCAATTGCGTCCGTAGACTGTAGTCGTATCACTCGTATGCTTTTTTTGCCTCTCCGCGTTCACCCAAACCAATCTAATTTAATGGAAGCTCGCGCTTTCAATCTTCTCAAAAACACCATTCATGACGAATCCCTTCAAGCCTTTCAGTCGTTTGTATGCAGTGTCCGTTTTCTTATCTCACTTTTTGACAATCATTATATGATTGAAGCAAATTACGATTTCCAGCTTATTCTTTATATTCAGCGCCATGTTTGGCCCCTGCCAGATGATGGCTGAAGTTGCATCTCAGTTTGCCGCTGCATATGATTAGGTCTAATTTAAAGGTTGCCTTAAAAAATATCAGGATTTATTAAACCAGTTTTCAAAAATTTCTGGAAACACTCTTGTAAATATACCATACTTAAATCTCAGTAATCGATCTTTGTCTTTGATATTTTACTTTGAAAAAATGCCTAAAGAATTAGTAAAGCGAGAATTTATCCCATTTTCTATTTATTTTTTGTGCGGAAACCTTTGCCGATCTTTTTTTTTTCCGACTAAATCGCCCCAGTTGCCTTATTCCATAAACGGAAGTCATCCCAAGTTTGTGTCCGATCGGATCAAAGCGTCTCCCTTCGAGGAGAAGAATATTAGCCGTGATTGGTCCAAAAGCCGGACGCACGATCAATTTATATCGATACAAGATTTAATAGGATGAATGTTTGATAAAAAAATACTAATAGTCTTGAAGCTAAATTTGGATAAAAATGATATATTTAGTTCTTTCTCATCACGTGCCGTTATTCAAAACAAGTTCTGGAAAATATTTTTAGTAAAAAGTAATGTTTTAATGTAGTAGACCATTACAATTGATATAGCTACATCAGTTTTATGTTAGACTTCTTTGTTTGTTAATTGGATCCATTCGATGTATGCGGCACAAAAATTTGAGGCTATAAAATCTCAAAAAACGGGGAAATTGCCGGTAACAATTTTATCGCGTGACTGCGTGAGATTGATAAAAAGCGTCTGGAATATTAATTGAAGCTAAAAAAGATAAAAAATTATGTGGAGATTGACTTGAATAATATATAAATGTTGATTTTAAAATAAGTCTCGAGTATATTAGATTTTAGTATTTAACTCGCAGGCAGCTTGCGAGAATCTCGGCTCTTGCAACGACGCTGATGACGTATCAAGTTTTCCTACCGTCTTGGGTGGCACGAGCCTTTGGTTTATCCGATTTACTAGCAATCATTGGAACTTTTAAAATCTTTTGGAATCATGGACGGGCAAATAATGCATGTGCCACAGTGCTCCAATCTTATCTCTTTTTTACTAACGAGTAACGGTATGATTTGTTATCCAAAATGGCGGCAAGTAACCACGAAGTATATACAGTGAACTATATATGATATACCACTGAGCTCAATACGCCTAGTTAATGTTCTGGAGCCACTTGTATTAAAGACTATAGTTAACTTTTAACTGTAGTTATGGACAGAATTAGCCAATCAGAGTCATACATTTCTCAGTTAAAGGCTAGGATTTAACTATACACATGCAGTTCGGCCAGTTGTATAATTAATAATAATCCTGAAGAAGTCGTTATCACCAATGTGAAATCATATATACGGATATAAATTTTTCTTTATCAGTTTCGGTTTTCAAATCCTCATTGTTCAGACTGCACACGCGTAGCTATTTATCTGAGCCACGATCAGATTAACAATTACGACAATTACGAATCGACTAGAACTATGCGGTCAAAGTTTCTGTAATCACAGTTGGAATTTTCTGTTGGTAAATCATATAGGTTTTAAAGAATTTACGATTAATATCAAGGTTTAATAACCACTGTTTTAGTTTCTTATATTATTCCAAATCATTCAAAACGAAGAATTTAATCCTACTGTAATCACAGTATCGCAACCACGCTGCATCCAATCAAAATACTTCTTTGTGTTGAATTTAATTTGATGCAGCTACTCGAAGCGAGATGGCGAGTGGGTTTTCGCGATGCGTGAAAGACGAACGAACCTTTTGTAGCCGATAATCTATTGGTTCTTAATACATGACGTAACATCCTATGAAAAGGGGAACACAGATGCCTGGTTTAACCGGTATCCCTTACGTATAAAACAGAAATGAACTGCGTATAACACGTTCCAGATTTTGGAATACGAGTGTTATTCAATACACATAAAGCACCTGTATTATTCATGCAACTAAGTGTCATTATATCAAATAATGTTCATTGTGACGTCGCTAAGTATTAGCTTTTGACACCATTTCCGCTAGGTGCGGATCTGTAATCTCCCACATACGGTAGGAGCTCAATTTTCTCATTATTAAGAAGAACAAACAGCGAAAAACAACATGCATTGCATGGATTTGAGTAAAGGTACACCGTGTGTCCTGAAGCGGTGACTAAATAATCAACTTTAGAGCACGGTTATATAGAATTCGGTTTAATATCAAGTCGACAAATGGGAACTAACGCGGCGATGCGAGACTCGGCTGACCAAGACCAAGAGACTGCCTCGAGAGCCAGCCCTTTTGAGGCTTCCTTTGATAACTTTAAGACGAAACGTCGACGTACCTTTAGTGGCCGAGGGAAATACTTTACTAATGTTAAACAGTTTTTCAACGGGTGTAAGAATCGCGTGAAAAGCTTAAGGGAAAGGTATGAGCATTGATGTGTGTACATATATTGAGTTAGCAACGAAAATGTCTTGTGACTATTTACCTAAGAGCGTAATATAAATTGAGCATATAGGCACGCATCCGTCGCATCGAGAAGGAAATCGCTGAAAAAAATTTCATGGACTGATGCCTACAGTAAGAATCAAGTCATCACGCGCAAGCTTTATTTTATTGGAAAACAAACCCTTTACATACATAGCCGCGTTGAAAGACTGTATTTTGAACCATTATTCGTTAGGAATTATGGTTAGGGAAAATATGTACTTAAGCTGTTTAAGAATTTTGATAATTTAAATTAATCAGTGGATAAAACCGAACTTAAATTCCAGTAACGTAAGTTGCTGAACAGCCCTAATATAATATTCGGCAACATGTATATATACTGTATATATAGGTAGAGTAAGAATGGTACTCTGATTTGCAAAATTATGTATCAAAAGTGTTATTCGAGACATGCAAGCACGTTCAATATTATGGATAACTGATACATGCATTGCAATCATGTACTATTGTATATACCCGCTTCTTATCAAATTTTAATCGAATTTATTCAGTCATATCATGATCGTTGTTCAGAAAGGTGATATTCGAAACGGGTCGGGAATATTTAGGAATCGCGCGGCACTTCTCATCTTTCACGTCTGGTGGTGTAATTACATAGTGAACGGCCGATACATGCACGCGTTTCTTTGTATGGACTTCATTAGTGTTTCATATGGATCTGTTTCGTTTCTTCAGGTCCATGTACGATGTAGGTTGCCAATTCGTGAAGAAGGAGGACAGCCTGGAGCCGAAGGTGGCCAATCAAGAGACATCGACGGTGAGTGTGCCAATGTTTTGAATCACTTGCGGTTTGTTTACCCGCGCAGCACATACGCCTTTTTCAACCTTGTGTTTAACTTCACACTTTCACGATGAAAAGTGGGCTTGTGAAAAACGAATCACGTAATGAAAATTGACTTCTCAAAGTGGCTTTAAACTCACAATTTACGAAGCGTTATCCGTTTGACAACTCGTATAGTATACTACATGAGTAGAAATACATGCATGTACATAACTATGGCACTATATCTACATATGTACTTGCGGCCCAACACGTAATGTTTGTTGAACCATTTCAATTCACGTTATTCTCGCTGATAATGATACTTTCTTACACCAAAGCCGTTGGCATACGACATTTTCAAATGCATTGATATTATTGGGGCATTTTTTTGCAGTATTCAGCGCAATACCATGCAATAGCCGATGGCATAGAGATTGGCCTGTCTATTTATCTTGAAGCTTTCAAAATGTTGCGTGACTTTGTGGGTGGGAAGTGACACGAGCTATTAAAATAAGTTGCAGAGACGCTTGATATCCACAAAGCCAATACTCGCATTACACATAATTGGTACATACTACATTAGAAGGTTTCTCAGGCACGTGCATTCAATGAAACTACTTCATCGGAGTGAATGTTTAGTTGAGGAGGACAGTAAAGAACCTTCCGCTTAATATATGATGCAATTTTATCGGACATTCTCATTAGCCCGCATCGAAAGTCAAAATCTGCCAGACTTATCAATATTTGGGGATAAAAAATCACTGAGTTTCCATTGACAACGGTCATGTAAGGCGCCATTGAAGTCAAGAGAGATCATTGCCATGTACGCCATCACTCTACAATCTATATTGCGGTATGATAACTGATCAAGCACGACATTTGCTAAGAACAGACGACACTAACTGCATCGTATAACATCATTTTTTGCCGTCGAACTATGTTGCCTATGTGGAATTAAAGGTTCAAACCGGATCAAATCCGATCTAACATCATCTAAACCACCCAACATTACCCAGCATGTTGTTTTTAAAAACGGTCTAACGGTGGCAAACAGCGTAGAAAATAATGTTGGGCCAACATTTTGCTCTTTTGAACGGGCCTCGACACTCTGGTATAGCCGGCAAATTGTCACCGTGCAGAGAGTCGAGATGGCATTTCTAAGCGGTGTTTAAATATGTCTGTGGGAAGCACACACTTCATACAAAGGCTATAAATCACATACTGTTTTAAAAGTCACGATAGGCGGTTTATGCGTGCTGCTAGATAATTGATCACACAACATTGTTTAAGAGCGTTGTATTGCCTTTGTTTTGCAATACAAAAAGTGTCGCTTCCGACCAAGAAAGAATTACTATTTAATTTTAACAAAGGATCGCTGCACGCAACGGCACCGACTTTGTTTAACCGTTGCAGCTCAAATACATTTTTCGCAATAAACACTTTCCAAATCCTCATACCGCCTCAATTGTATTGTACTGCGCCCAATAGCCATATTTTCATTTTTTTTCTCGATTGTTGGTAAAACATTTATTTTATTGAAATATGAAAGATTTACCCGCAGGATACACAAATTGGATAAAGAATATTATGCAATTGTTGCATCAGTATAATTTAGATATACATGCATGCATATAAGTGCATATGACGATAAATCGTAGATTATGATATTCTTGAATCATAAATCGTAGATTGCTTGCAAAATGGATTTTTTTATGACTTCAATATGTTTTAGCGATACCATGCATGCATGCAGTAGGTCGAGCATTAGTTAAGTATATCGACCGTTCAAAGAATTATATATACTCTCGCGATGATTAAAACCATCTCATGGATTACTTGAATTATATTCAAAATATATGAAAAAACAAATAACGCGAGTTTATGCGGCACTATACAATTGAAATTCAAAGGAAATTTGCCTTTTTTTTCATTGTTTGATTAAAATGCCGTCCATGTATATTTACAATTGTGGACGTATGTATAGTTATTTGGCAGATTGTTTTGTTGCTGTTGGTCGATTGGCTGATTGGTTGGTTCATTTGCTGGCTGGTTGGCTGTTTGATAGTTTGATAGCAGACTCGTTGTCTTGTCGTTTTGCTTGTTTTTTTTTGGCCGGCTGATTAGGTATAGTCGGCCGGTTAGTTGGCTGTTATGTTGCATGATTGTTAGGTTCGTTGGTTAGTTGGCCGTGATTGCATGGTGTGTTAATTTTTTAGTCGCATGGTTGGCTTGTTGGCTTTTTGGATTGTTTTATGAATGCATGTCATGCAGTATACGTGTGGTATCATGATCATATATAGCGTATACGTTTGTTGTAGTCAAAGACAGAATTCTTATTCTTTGTTACCAAACACATTTTTAAATACCTATAAATATACATATTAAATATTTAAATACTTTTATTGTGAAAACAATAAACGGAAATTTTATCAGGAAACGAGCATATACTTTTTAAATATATTTAGAAAGGTGTGACCGGAATTGGCGATGTCATGATATGCTATTAAATGAAATGAAATTATAATTGAAACAAGAACAATGATTTTAGCTTAGCAGACTACAAAATTGTCTTTATTTTACAAGGGTAACACTAAGTATATAGCTATAAAATCGAATTTGTTGGCTTAATTCAAATGTTCAAAAAACAACCAACGTGATGCTAATGAAGTTGTTACATATTTCTTAAGAGCAAACTTGTAATTTAATGACCCATATTTTCGCCATAAAACTTTTTGACTTCAAAACCGAAAATTTTTGGCAGATTTTCAATCAGAGAAACAACACTAATTAAGACGATGGCGCTATTGAAAGTACGGCGATCAAGTGGTTTTACTTTACGTTATGTATATCTTTAGACAAAAACACAGAAGCTCTCTCAATTTTCATTATCGTTTTCATTTTGACGTCTAGAAGCCCTCAAGCCTCACTTTTCGGCGCGCGTGGATCTTACGATGTCATTTAAATATCCCTGCCGATTGAGATGCATGTTGAGAGCTAAAGGAATTCGGAATTATGAACTGTGATATTGAGTGTTGAGGTTGTGTGAATACGTGTGGACGGAACCCGTAACCGCGTAAAGAATATTCTTGCATTTTCGAGTTCTTTCGGCATTGTTTGGAAGGGGGGGGGGAGGCGTTCAGCTAAGCAATGACTTGAAACTGAAACCACGGAAATTCTCATGCTGCATCTAAATATGATATATTTCAATTTCATGCTGGCAATATATCAAGTTATATGTTCCTAGAACGCGGCTTATATAAAATGCACGTTCACTATTATCTATGTAGAATGTCGAGTTTTATATAGCCTCATATTCCGGCAAGCGCTTCAAAACGTATAGAGCATAATCATTTTAATATCGGTTCCCAAATTCAAATTAGTTACATTATCTTTAATTTTCTCGTCACCTAAACAGTTCTACTTTGTTTATACTAGAGTTTTGAGAAAGACTCGATCATCGTACGCTTCGACCTCAAGGACGTTCTGATTCTGGACAGGAAAAAGGACCCCAGTCTTGTGTTTTCAGAAAATGAAGTTGATCCCAAATGGTATATTTTACTATATTATTTTATACTATCTTCTTTATGACGTTTTGAACGAGTGATATGATTTTACGGTCATTAACCAGCTTAAGCCCCGTTTATGTACGTACGGGTACACCCATTTTAGCCGTGCCGTGCCAATAAATCGAGAGTAGTGTCATGGCTTTAGGTGTCTCTCAGGCCGTTATAGGCGTCTTGTTACGCACGTCATATATATAGATTGCCTCAAATATCGTTTAATATATATTGGCACTCCTCATGCCCCCTGCCCATCTATAACTACGTATATCGCTTTCCATCTTAACTTATGTGACTGCCGAATATAGCTATGACGTAACCACTGGCTCACCTGAGACAATCCTTGAGTATCTCTTGGAAACTCGCCTGGACAATGACGAGGAGACTGAGGGTAACTGTAGAGGTAGTGCACAAATTTTATTTCATAAATAATATCATCACGTAAGGATTTTCGTCCAGACGCTTCAATTTCGTCTGTTGACCTTTCAAGTTATTGCCCTGCTGTGAGCTAGAATTTCCCATGTCTCACTTAAAATGGATGCAATATGCCGTTTATGAAATTTATTTAATGATAACCATACCGTACGAATTTTTTTCATAGACACTTTGGTGGATGATTTTCTTCTTACATTCCCACTATTTACGAACGAAGAAGAGCTGTGCTCTATACTCAAAAGATAGTATCCTTTGCAGAGATTACAATTTTAATGCTGCATGCATGCACGCGTACATACATACAGGCAAAGTGAAATGGTTTGTCGTACAAAGTCATTGGATAAATAAAAATATGAGCCAGATCATATAATTTGCCTATTGTTATATATCCTTAATCTGTGTCCAGTTATCATGGTACAGTAAGGATACAACACGCCTTTCCGTCGAATGATAAGAAAATACCTGGGGATATGAGCCGAAGACGAAAGAAACGGTGGGTATATGGCGGGTCAACCGGGTTTTTTCCTTATTTTGGTTCTAATATCTTTCGTTTGGACTGGATTTTAGTTTGGTTCGTTTCATTGTCCACTGGAACAAACTATCATATCATATATTTTATGAAAATGAGCACGTCAAACAGCTAATAGAGGTAAGGAAAAACTGTGCTTTTTAACAACAATATGGCGTCTGCACGCAAGCTCGGATTCGATAATGGTGCTGAATTTTGTGAACATAGCCTCATTTCCGTAAACACACTCATATTATAGAAGTCCATATATGTTTTGTATTACGCAGTAATCTTAAAATTGTCATAGAGAGACTCACGAGGCTTTTCACATTTGTATTTTTATCAAGGATTTGGTATGTGATCTTGAAAAAGACAACTTGCCGGACGAGTTGTCCCTGCTGGAACAGGTTCTGGATCAAACATGCAACCATAATCGGTAATTACAATAACAACACATTTTAAAGATCATGTCTCAGAAAACACACTTTTGTATATGTCGTATATGTTTTTGTCAAGAAGGATGATTATGGTGACAGCTAAATGATTTAATATTTCTTTCTATATAACACCTTTTTGATTAATGTTATTTAATTGCTTGTTTTTTATCACGTGGTATAATGAATAACAAATTCATTTTGCTGACGGTGTTATAAAATTTTTCATTGGCATCATTGCTCGGTCAAGCGCCGTGTATATAGTTTTGCTTTCACTATATTCAATCACTCACGGTATTTATTCTGTCGTGCCATCACACATCACGAATCCGAATAAAATTGGCAAATAGAATAGGATTTATAAGCACATTTGTTTTTATGATAACTGTTATTACAAATTATCCGATTTTTGTAATTCAGGTTTTCAAATGGTCACGATGATTTGATGTCGTCAGCCTTACTTGAAAACAAAGTAAGTAAACGCGTATAGTTGACCTGGTAGTTGTGTAGCTGTGCATGTAAATTATGTTATGAAAAGGTATTTGTCAACATGTCGTATACTCGACTTATTATAGGAATCCTCGGATGCGAACCATTATGATAAATCTCGAGGATCAATGGATGGCGAGTTTGTGACACGACTAAATGATTGCTGTCCTATCAGAGCTTGTGATAACGGTATGTGATATAAACAATTCGCCCAATCGTGTCGCGAGGATTAGGATGCTCATAATAGATTCATTACAAATTATATATATAACTATGGTACGGTATAATGAAAATGACTGCTACCGTATATTGAATTGAAGACTGTATTCAGTAAGATGGATATATCTTTTTACAGTGATCTTTCAAGTCTACCGTTCAGATCATACATATTCAAAGTTTCGGTGTCGCAGAGACTCGACTGTGCGGCATATTGTAAAGCAATGTTGCGAGAAGTGGAAGATTGATGACGAATGCGTTCTTTGTGAATTGAAATCGAATGGAGGTGAGTAAGGCCCTTTCGATCGACTGTCAAAATGGGCTTTGAACTGTCATTAAGTACCATCCGCTCCTTATAATTTGAAATTAATCCAATATTCCAACTAAAATCCTTTCACGTATCGGCATGTTACTTGGCATTGACATTTCCATGACGGGGTTAATTTCGAGCCTGTTTTTTTATTCGGCTTGTTAAAGACAATTATGATGTAATTAAAATTGGAATCAGGAGTTAAACATGTTTACCTTAATGTTATATCATTCAACGTTTCGTGTGACGTCATGTCCGACCAATTTTTTCAGAAAAACAAGTTTTTAAATATGACGAAGTCGGAGTTGTTTCTCGTGTTAGAGTTAATGGAAGATTGTTTGTGGTTCCTAAAGAAGAACTAAACAGTCTAGTAAGTATATCTGAATATGTATTTGTATTTGTAGCGATTGTCATAACAAATTATGTTCCAATATCACAGGTTGAACGGCATGCTTATGACTGCACTTAAATATTGGGCGCACTTATTTAAAAGAAAAGTGCGGTCAGTTCAGGCCATTATAATGCATGCAATTTGTCAGTTATGATTCTCATTCTGGTGTATATGTGTTCGAATAACAGTCATATATACATGAGTCGAATTTCGCCATGAACACGCCAACGGCATTGAACATGGATTGCCTAAGGTGTAACTGTTCTATATTTTTCCCTTTTATTCAGGTTCCATTACCGGAACAAGATGGTCCAGAATTTGAAGTTAATAGCTCGTTGACCGAGCTAAGTGCTAAAGAATTGGCCTATCACTTAACGCTATACGAGAATCAATTATTTAGATCTGTCAGTGTGGTAAGTCCTATATGTGAGGTGGAATAATATTTTTTAACAATCTTCATGACGACGAAGTGCAATCGTGATGTCATATTAAACCACTTTTCACACAGTTTCTGCTCTCTTCCTTAGTACGAATTCCTGTACCACGTGTTTGGTGTACAAAACTTTCCTGGTAAAGTGAAAACGAATTTGGATTTATTTTTAAACAGACTGGATGAGGTTTGTCATTGCAATTGAATTCTCACCTTGGCGTGTTTATTTCAACATTTTTCTTTTGTTTTGAAAGATCCAATTTTGGGTGGCGACAGAGCTGGCTTTGGCAAGTCACCTATCTAAAAGAGTTCAACTTATGAAGAAATTTATAAAGATTGCCTCACAGTAAGAATATTTTTCTCATACTATCGTTACGGCCGCCATAAATAACCCTCAGTTATAGTATCGTCGCAAGCTTGTTTTATAAGTCCATGCATGTTATTATACATATACCATCACGTAAAAAGAGTTCATGGTTATATGAATAAGGTTAGAATTGACATGACGACATGACATAGGCTACAAATCTCATGTTTTTATGAGATGAAAATAGACAACTAACCACTTGAATTTTACAGCTGCAAAGATTTTAAGAATTGGAATACGTTTTTCGCCATTATTCTGGGTTTGAACAATTCCGCTGTCAGCCGGATGAACCATACGTGGGATGTAAGTTGTGTTTCATATTTTGTTAGTCAACAATTTTGTCTACCAGATACAATCTACCACCTGATTATCACAATTTAGGATTTTATCTTGGGGTGGAAAACAACTTGCCCGGGTTGAAATATGCTTCACCCCTTTGAAAGAATAGCAAATTACCTATAGCTATATATATCGCGTTTATTCCGTTTTTCGCTTTTACGTAGAGATTGCCGACGAAATTCCGGAAAATGTTTGACGACTTCTCAGGAATCCTGGTGAGTGTATTTTGTAATGTAAACAACCCCGGTGAAGTTGATTTTTAAATTGATTTTCTTCTCAATGTAGTAAATTTATAACTTTCGTCGAAAGTGTTATCATTTTCCATGACATATGCTAAATGAAATTTTGTTTTGAATCGCTCTGTATGGCCGATTGCATCCCTCTCATGCAAAGTTCAATCTAAAATTCGACTCATGCTTATGTACTTCATTTGTTAAGTATATATATATATATTGTATGTTTTATTTTTTATATATTAATTAGAATCCCTCAAGGAATCACAGAGTGTATAGATTATCTATGGGTAGGTTGAAAACATTTTGTGAAATTTCGTAAGTTCCAGACGTCAAACTTTTCATGTGCAGAACCTAATGTTAATGAGCTAAAGTTTTTGTTTAAGTTCATTTGCATTCGATTCAGCGCATGAAAAGTTCAATGTCTGGGGCGGGCTCCAAGATCTTACATTATAACAATTGTGTGCACATTTTCTTCGGTGATTATATCGATTACTACATTTGTTTCAGGTTCTTTGGATCCACCAATAATCCCTTTTGTTCCATTATTTATTAAAGGTACCCGATATAATACAATTTATTACAATGAAATACAATGTCTGTATTTTTCCCCCCTTATGTTACTGCATACTTCGTGTTAGGTATATGAACTTGCTATTTTGCAGAAAGTATATACGTCTCTTGATTAGGAGCATATTCAGCGCTCCTCAAACTAACGATCTAAGTACAAAGATCCAATGATAAAGCCGTGTGCCGTAATAACGAGAAGTTATTATTTAGACCCATTCTTGTTTATTGCATATTGCTCCGTCCTTTTTTTAGACATGACCTTCGCACATGAGGGGAGCGAAACATTGACGAACGATCAACTGGTGAACTTTGCTAAGATGGTATGAACATTTTATGGACTGCGTTTTCTATATATAAACATGCAATGACGTAGCCAGCCTGAGGATTTTGTCCCGCTGTCGCTGTGCAAATTTCGTTAGATCATTGCCTCATTATACATACTATATTTATACAGAAAGTGGAATGCCATAAATCTGCATAACTCCCATAAAGGAGAATGTGAAAACACCATCCTATACGCCTTTCCTATTCTCTAGCTTCTCTTTATGCGTAATGTATTGAGTAACTACTTTTTGGTGTTAAGATTTTCGAAGACAGGCGGGTAGATGGAAGCTTAGCCATATAGGATCATTTTAAGGCGGGACCCGAAAGGTTGCCAAATTCGCAACTGATGACCTGCTATCTACCTGGCGTTAGAACTGACCGGCAAATGCAAGTTACCTAAATTGTTTTTCATTCTCGTCCGATGTAGAGACTTGTTGCGTCCACTCTTCGATTAATACAGTTTTGTAGAAGTCATCCATTAGGTACGTATTAGAAGTTCTTTATAAAGGAATTTCTTAAGAAAATGCGTCTTCAGAAACTGAATATATATATTACGTTATACGTAAATGTTACTTCCCATGTATTTTAGTGGTTGATCCTCCAACAATATCGAAAGGAATGCGTGAGGTTTACAACTATGTGAGGTGAGAATTTTTATTATCGGGTAGCAAATGTTTGCATACTTTGGTTAACGCTGTAATATTGTCATGCATGCAGAGATAAATGACAGTCGCTGAATTATTTTATCAGTTTCAAGTGAATAACATTGTCATTATAACCGTTTTTGACTATTGTACAGTACGTATACATGAACCTAAAGTAAACACGAACATCTTTTTTCAGACAACTTCAGGTTATCGACAATCAAGACAGGCTTGATCAGTTGGCTTTGGATACGGATTTTAAACCATCGTCACCGACAAAAACTCAAACACTATAATACAAAGCTATATAGGTATCACCTAGCATGGGTGCATGCATGCAACTTGCTTTCGCGTGGGGTATGCACACAGCAACAATCAAGGTGATACCAACGTGGGTTACTCCCCCCCCCCCCGCGCCTAGTGACAGTGAATCAGATTTTGGCACTGATCATGCAGTTACAGAACCCAATGAGACAAAACGTATTCATTAGAATGGGGGGCATTCACAAATGATGTCGGAAACGAATAAGGGAAAGGGTGATTGGGACAACGGACAAAATACGGGCATGAAAAGAGGGTTAATACATCTGGCAAAGAGCATGTCAAAAAAACCGGCATATAATGCTAGGTGGCATAATGTGTGCGTGGACACACTGTTTGTTCACTAAACGGGGCTTTGATGCCCCAGGACTACGAGCCCTATGGCAGAATTCTGGTTTGTGTGTTTCGTTTAAAGCTGTTAAAAAAGGTCATTCGACAAGAAGGGATTTTAACTTTGATTTGAAGGAATTTGAAATTGGTAATTTTTGCAAAACATATTGCAGATGTCCAGAGGACGAGTGTTTTTCAATTCGCACTATGAGATACGTATTATTGTATACGATATCTTTTGTGAATGGGCCTCATATCAGTTATAACTGTTTGTCGTAATACATCTACACGTGCATGGTGTACTATAATCTACTACTGGACATTCAAGTGAGTCATGCATATATTATAGAATACTGTGAACGTTAACTAACTAGTACGTATAGGTAGCTACTTGTCATGAAACTTTTAAACAGGTGTACAAAATGTGAGATATATATATGTATATAATACATAGTCATAGACATGGACACATAATACTGTGATACAGATTTTAGGGAAATATATATGTATAATTTTATGGTGTACTTGCTTGTTTATCTAGCTAATGATTAAGTAGTGTGTAGTAAGATTATTCTGATATCGGCAATTCGGCATTCTAACACATATTTGCATAAATACCGGGTTAGAAAAAGCATATTTTTTAAAATCTTTTTAAGAAAAGAATCATCTAAAAAAGTTTTCCCCTGAAACGTTATAATGTATTTTTATGCACGCAGCTGGAGCCTGGAGCATTTACAGCCTCATGCAGAAGCAACTGTTTTCGGTGACAAAGTTTTATTGTGATCCGTCAAATACTTTATGTAAGCACAATCTTGAGATTCTTTTTGTTTGTAGGTTGCACGATATACACTTTCGCCAGCCATTTCTCCCTTAGTACTACTCAGCTGTTCCTTGGGTTTGAAGCTGGTTCGCGGACGCACACGTTCATGCTGCTGGAAGTCATTTGCTGTTACCGAATGACCTTTAAACTTTTGAATGGGTTTCAAATAAAAAGTATGCTCGTGGAGGTCTCCGTATCTTTTGAACGAACCGGCGTCGTATTTTGGGAATTGAGTTTTATAGGAAGTCTCGTCAGCTAGTTTTACTTTACTCGAGGGGATGGTTGGGACGGGTTTGGAAATTCGAACGCGTGTGGTTTCCTTCGGCTTGAAATCGGCCATCGTTTGTGTGGTCGTGTGAAACTTTTCCTTCGGTGGAGTATAACTGGATTCCTTTGGTTTTGCTTTGACGAGGCTAACATCCCACTGACCTTTGTATCTTTCTCGGTTCGTTGTCGTGAAATCATGAGTGGTGTCCATTCCAAGGTTTACTGTTGCAGGATATGGGGCACATGGTTTCGCTGGAGCAGGGAATTCGCCTGTAAGAAGTAGTGCATGGTATTATATAAGGATACATATACCTTGCATGTCTCTGAATTGCCGTCTTGGCGTTATTCAGCCGTGTACAATGTGGCTTAAATTTTCTACAAACCTTTTTTATAACTTGGAAAATCTCTTTGTGCTTGTGTGGTTGCGTTAAACCTAACTCTTTCCGAAAGCTTTATGGTCGGTTTTTGACCTTTAGGCGAGCGTTTAAGATCTTCATCGTGCTTTTTGTACGTAGCTTGATGTACCGTTTCATGTTCGTATTCACCCTCAGTTCCCAATTTAATGGCGGCTTCTCGAGGTCCACAAAATTCACTCTTTGGTGCAAATTTCCCTTGGTACGACTCTTGATTTACTGTACGTAAATTACCAGACTTTGCATCTGGGTAAAGTATGGAACCCATGAACGAAGGAAGTTCGGAGAAGCACATCGTTGGTTCGGCTTTTTTCTCCCTAAATGTTGTATTGTGAGTTGTTTCATCCGAGAATTTGTACTTGGGTTGCTGTGTGGAACTATTCACCGGGCGAGTGAGCTTGATTTGGCTAGGTTGTGCTCGATTTGCGTACGCAACGCCATACGAGGTCTTGCCGTCAAATTCTTCCTTTGATACGTCCTGGTAATTATCTTCAATCTAAACGTTTTCAAAAAAATTAACAGTTTAGAGTGTAGCTGAGCAAGGAGCTCTTTGCTCCCGAGGTGACTTAGACAAAAAATTAGAATATTTTGACCATTTTTCCGGCAGAAGACAGTCAAGACACACCAGAAATATTCTTTTCATAGTCTGGAAAATTGAATGATCACTGAACTGTACAGGTGCACCATCCGCGCGTGTATTTTGTATGTGAAGGGTTTGATACGGACCAATAGCTCTGCATATAACAAATACACACATGGACGAAGAAAAAAACATAAAAAAATGTAGGGACATATTTTCCTGTCTGTTTAAGATGAGACAAATAGAAAACGCGCACTCCAAAAGACTAGTTGTCGTGAAAATGTCAAATGCGCGCAAACTTACGTTCAACCACGAGCCGAGGAAACCGCCCAAGTCCCCAAGTTGTGATATTCGTTAAATTTGGTGCCAGCAGCAGCGTAACTTGCACAGAGGCAAAGTTGCGCGACACTAGTCCGCAAAAACTCAATACTAGTCTGTATGACTATAATCGATTGATTCTATACCTACCTTTACCGGCTTGGGAGGACCTTCAAAACCACTATGTTGAACAAACTCCGTGTTTGTTATGGTTCGGAAATCCATGGGGGGTGGATTGGGGTTTCTCAGTCTTGGAAGTGGACGTCTTATCTTACGTACAAAATTGCAGGGTGGGGTCTGGTAGGAGGATTGATAATCTGTTGAACATTCTTTAAGACCTGCTCTCTTAAGAACAGTTTTCCCTTTATCTGTGATTTTCGTACAGCCCTCGTGGCGATGGAACCGACTGGTGAAAACAAGGAAACACATCTTTATATGATCTCGGGTACACAGGGACACCCTTCTCCCCTGTTTACGTCCATTGTGTTAATCCCAGTTGTGAATTAAGATATTTGATTCAAAGCAATTTACGACTTACACACAGGAGTCGAGCTTATAACACACAACACATTGTTTACACGTACTTGAACTGCTACCGTATTATTTGATGGAAACAGAATTAAATAAACTGTATAGGTTATATAAATAACACTCTGACAGATATTATTTCATATAATTATGACTGCCTGTTATCTGAAATCAGACCCTACATTTTCGACACGATGACGACATAGTTAGAACAAGATGCCTATTCTGGCGGTAACTGCGTCGCGTCAATCGTTGCATGCAACTGTACTCCATTTCCTGTCAATATTTATTCCTTTAGAAAAATGTTTCTTTCTTAGGGTTTCTAGTAAATAGAGCACTTCGTACAGAATATAGGGGTAAAACTGCATTAAACGATATGCGTGAATAAGGCTGAGTTTGGAATCATGTACTCTAGGAATCTGTTTGTACTGAAATTTGTTCGCGCAGTGCGCGACGCAGTAAATATATTGAGATTTGGGATCTGGAGTGATCTGGAGTCTGGCCCATCGAGAGTCGAGACAGTCATGCCATTGATAGGGGCAATGAGGGGGGAGGCGTTCTCAAATGCTCCTTAGCCAAATCATGGGTTTTCAAATCAACAAATCTCCCTAAAAGTTTATTTATCGCGTTGAATTGATCTCCTAGAAATATCTTCTGAACGAAAAGAAGCTTCATTTTCTAAAGTAATGCATGTATGAAATAGCAATGCCGATATACATACACAAACAAAAATAATGGACACATGTATTTAAGCAGAATAAATGTGTTTCAACTTACCCACAGTCACAAAGCTCGCATACGCATTTCAAACCCTTTTCTCTAAGTAATTGTTGTGTTTCTGCACTGTATATATCTCGCTTCAAATTGTTTGAAACCATTATTGCAGTGCGGCTAAATTAGCCGTACTGATCAGCTTCCAATTTGTAATCTTAGATCAGAGTAGATGTGTTGCGGAGACTGACTAACTTCACGAGTTCACGCCGTCGCCACTACAAGATAAAGACGGTTGGATTTTGCTCTACGGTAAACTAAAACTTCAAAGTTTATCAGAGCAACACTCGTGTTGATAGTAAAGCGCTGTGTTGTTTAATTCATTGCTAGTGGCAACCGCATACATTCAATGGGTCAAAAGATCATTTGAAAGATATATTTACATATATCTACAATTACACCATCATTATCATCTGTTCGGCCATTTGATAGTGTACCTCCAATTTTGAATTTGAAATTAATTTCAAATGAGAAAATAGCTTAAATAACTTTCTTATCTTCTCACTTGCTTTAAATTGGATTTAACTTACTGACCATCATGTTACTAAACGGACAATACATGATATACGGTGATTTGGGCGAAATACACATGTAGAAACGGGAAATGGCTCGCATTATAATCTTCGAGCATGCGTTGCAATTTGCAACTATGAATGAATGATGAATCTATGATTGCAATTTGCAGATATGTTTGCACTTTGCAAATATAGATAGTGGAGTGTCTTTGAAGTTTTAATTCAAGTTGTTGAAGTTTGGACGTTTAAAATGGAAACATCTAGATTTAAAGACCATAATTAATAATTTCTTTGATTCTGATTGGCCAATGTCGCAGCGCGTAGCTAATTCCACGAGATTTAAATCGAATGAAACACTCACTAGTCACTATTTGGAGTTATTGGTGTTGTCCATTTTAAAATCCTTTCAATAAATTGCATCAAACGTATTTTCCTGCTGTCTCTCAAGGGGTAAACTCAGTCGTTGAGTGAAGTAAATAATTATGGATGCGAGCGAACTTCATTGCACCACAAACGTCGAGAAGCTCAACGAGCAAGGCATAGTTTTACGGCGAACAGTCTATAAATCGTGCAGTACAATTCTTGGTCGTGATCAATTTGATGATATTCTATTGAGAATCGTATCGAAGCAGCAGATTGCTCAAAGTTTCTTGTTAAAAAAGATTAGCATACATAGACGATTTGTTAGAGAAGGGAAAGCTACCATTAAACTCTTGACACAAAATGTTCTCGTGATGCTATCGAATTGTCCACCGGACAAGCTTGCTGCTTTTCTGGCATGTCTGAAAGTTAAGCTTGCTGTAAAATCTAATGAAGGTTTTACAGGGGACAGAAAGCGACTTCGCAGTGAATTACCACGAAGTTTCGAACACATAAGTCCGCTGGTTGAAAATGATTTATTGAGGGCAAAAGAAAATATTGCCCCGGCAACATTACATGACAAAACCCCCAAACGTAAACGATGCGAAGGATCAAGCGACAATCTGCCACGAAAGAAGCTCATGATTACCTCAAACAATGCTGTGAAACCAGCAAGATCAAGCGTCAAGTTAAACAAGTCCCAGTTACGTGTATTAAATGCTGTGAAATGTGGTCAAAGTGTTTTCATCACTGGAAGTGGTGGAACTGGAAAGTCATTCTTGCTGAGGAAAATTATTGGTTTGTTGCCACCCCATAATACATTTGTTACAGCAAGTACTGGTGTTGCTGCTTGTCAGATTGGAGGCATGACCTTGCATTCCTTTTCTGGTGAGTATAAATATATAACAACTTTTTGAATGTGAAAAGTAGCAATGTAGAAATCATTGCAAATATATTAGCTACAGTACAGTGTAGGTGCCAGGACCTACAGTATAATAGGTGCCAGAAATTATTTTTAAATATTATAATTATTTTTATAATTTCTGCTCTGTACATACTGCGCTCTTGTAAGATTCTGCCAGACACCATTTGCCCTTATTGCTTCTAGTGAACTGCTTCTTAGCAACACACTATTGAATGACTAAGTGGTTATCAGGTTATAACCCATGGACATAAACTGTTTTGCTGAGGCATTTAGTTACCATACATGCATGTGCATGCGCACACCTAGCTAGTACGTACTGTACTATTCGGGGAGGTCAATTAATGCACTCACAAGATATGCTGGCGTGGGTACTTACAGAATTTAAATGTCTCAAATTTGATGGAGATCCAGACCTATACATAATTGTCATGAAAACTGCGGCCAGTCATCTTAGGGTCTAATAATTATTAGGATTGAAGGCCACAGCTAACTAGCTCCCATAGTTAATTCCTTCAATCTGTACAGACCTCAATCTCTCGATCTAGAATATAAAGAAAAAAATAATATATTTGAGGAATATAGCAATTTAATTAACGTACACTTACCTCAATCAGTGGCATACTGTAATAGTTCGCATGATGTGTGTATATTTGCTCAACATTTAGACACCAATTTTAGCATTCAAAAATAGCTTTCAAATATAATTTATAAACCCAGTCAAATAATTATTGTTACGGGTATATATACTAAAGTTGTTGTGCAAATATGCAATATAATTATATTACATACCCTACTCGTGGGCGTTAAGCATGCGGGAGGGTGTGTGGGGTGCTTATATAAATATACCCTCCAGTTTAAGGTTGTCGGTTAAACGTTGCTAACGTCAGTCAGTAATAGCACACAAGCGTCGATCAGTAAAAGTATAACTTTCCTCAACTTGCTTAGTTGCTTGGGAATCGCAATTATTAATTAGACAAGTCGTCTCACTCGTCTGTTGATAAACCGACCAAAAGGTAATGTGCTTTCTTTAGACGCGCTTCAAGTGTGACGTGTTCGTTGGGGTACACCTCCCAGTGAAGATATATAGTCACGCCGCCCAATTATTATGTCCTACTACATGGACGGGTGGCAGTGTTTATAATTGTAATAGTTTTTCTTGATGTTTTAATTATAGGGATAGGGTGTGGGAAAGGCAACCTGGAAAATTGTATAGCCATGGCTTCAAATCGCATTCATCTTCAACAGTGGAAGAATTGCAAGCATTTGATAATCGATGAAATATCCATGATAGATTCTGAGTTATTCGACAAGATAGAGGCTGTCGCACGTGCCTTGCGTAAGAATGATAGGCCTTTTGGGGGAATCCAACTTATTGTTTGTGGGGATTTTCTCCAGTTACCACCAGTTATTAAACCCGGAGAGAAAAAGAAGTTTTGCTTTCAGGTGAGAATTCTTTATGGTTATTCTGTTATTGTCATTATTCTGATAAGTTTTGCCCGCTTAATCCCCTCTCCACCCCATTTGCTAAAGATTGATTTGTGAAACAATCTTGTATGTATATCTCCTTCTAGAAGCTTTCCAGGAATAATAAATGATTGTAAAAAATATTTTAGGCTGAAAGTTGGTCGACATGCATACACAAGACCATTGAATTGATTGAAGTCAAAAGACAGTCAGATCCTCTTTTTATTAATATCCTAAATAATATTAGAGTGGGAAGGTACGTATCAAGGTTTGCCGTCATGATTATTGATATTGATAGAATAAACCTCATTGCACAGGTTCCATCTAAATTAACCAAAAACGGTTGGAACTACTTCGACTAAAAAGACATTTTTTACTGTCGCCGTCTTTGTGTAATTGTGCCCGCAATCTTGGCGTAATCAGGTGTAATATAACACTACACGCATATTTATAGCTTAGATGGTAACAATGTCAATTGCATGGGTCTGCGGCGCAGGCTATGTCAATGAAGCATGCGTGTAGTTAAATGGGAGGGTAATTAATTCTGCGCGTGTACACGAGGACTACACGCAAAAATCCCGCGAAGGTATTACAATGTTCAGAACAACAATGCCACTGGACCAATCCCGACCATTTTATAAATTTTATATTTTTCTTAATTCTATTTATAATACCACTATATTTATATCTTACTACTATATTATTTTACTATTTTATTTTACTATTTTTACCATCAATACTATAAATGCATGATCATTTCCAGTGTTTCCACAATTTTTTTACACTCAGATGTCCAGACGAAGTTGTCGAACGGTTGTCGAGAAGCAAAGAGAACAAAATAGATTCTGAGGGCATATTAGCCACTAGGTTATGTACACACAAAGAAAACGTGGACCAGATTAACAAAGTACAGTTACAGAGTCTACCTGGAAAGGCAAAATCATTCCAAGCAGTGGACAGCGATAATAATTTTAGCAAGACTCTAGATTCATGCTGTCCTGCAAAGGCAAAACTGGAGTTGAAAGAAGGCGCTCAGGTGTGTTCTTAGCTATACCATGCATGAATAAATCGTTCAAGGAGATGTTTTCCTGGCGAAAATGTTTGCATTGCTGCATGTGTTCCACTGCACATACCGCGGCCATCTCTGACATCATTCCTTAATCCTGATTCACATCTCTATTTGTCCCAAAAATTGTGGATCTTTTGATTGGGAATTAACAATCACTGCATGACAATGGAATGATATCCCCGATTCTTTGTGAATTGGCCTACTTCACATTACATAGACGATACACTTACTTGCCATTTGATGATGATGACTGCAAGTCAGTGAAAACGTTGGGTTCAATTTTAACAGTTTCGGAGTGTCCGTTTATTGTTTTGTAGTTTTCATGCAAAAAGAGAATCGGAGAATGTTCAAATAGTCGTAGAAATTTCACTGCTTACAAGGACCGCCGTATACTCTAGTTCAGTAGTTGTTAGTTTTTATGTGCCGGATATTTGGCTATTACTTATTGTTTCGATAAATTGGACATCAGAAATCAGAGACTTAATTGGCTGCAGTTATATTTGAAGCCCAGATTGTACACTTTGTTGCCTACCTTTCAAGCCTACAATTTGCAACTCTTTAAATGTTGTAAATAATACTTCAATTCTTACTTAAGGTACTGCTGACGAAAAATTTGGACGTAGGTCAAGGATTGGTCAATGGTGCACGCGGTGTAGTCAAAAGTTTTTCTACGGGAAATACAGGTGATTATTATATGTGCATATGCTGATATGTTTCGAGGCAACTACCTTCATTTATACAACCAGGGATTAGATTTTAAGCGATGTGTGAATGGCTTAAACGTATAGTAGCTACTGCGTTCATAGGTAGCCCAACACTCGTGGTCCGCGCGCGTACACGCTACTCAGTGATTGCATATATTAATTTATCCTAAGGTTGGCAACCACTGAGCTATATAATAATTCCTGGAGGACCGGCTCGTCATTTTTCGGTAACTTCGCCGCCATCTTTTTGTCCGCAAAAACATGGCGGACATCGCCCTTCTGCGCAACCGCAGAAGCTCTGCTGACGCCACATGGTTCCTTTTGGCCATGGTATTTACCACTGACCGGGCTCAATTATGAGCCCGCTACAGCAGTATTCTCCCCCCTGGATTTAGTAAGGATTTAGTAAACAACAGGTTCTCCCCCCTGGCCTTTATAAGAAAAATTTCCCGTGAAAACTTGTTTTGTTTTTTTGAAATATAAAGTCATGAAAACATCATTAATTGCATTTTTTTGAAATATAAAACTTTTTTTAAGATGAATACAAGTCGTAGACGCTGTTAGCCTGTTATTGCCAACGCAAGAACAAATATATGTTAAAACGTCAAAAAATTGTGGACAAAATTGAAGATCTTAATTCTGACACGAACTGACAGGTGTTTTTTTTATATTTTCATTATTTCTACATTCCTATAACAAATGCTTGAACTTTTTGGCATTATTGTCGGACATTTTGGGGACAATTGGATATTTATGGACATCAATTAGACTTTTTTGAACCCTGCATGAACAGCAGAATTACTGAAAGTATGCAATTAATAATGTTTTCTTGAATGGTCTTGAATGTCTTCAGAACAATATATCTAGGTATAATCCAAAGAAACAGAGGCCAAAGCTCAGGGGCAAGATGCTTGGCAGCTGACTAAGTGCAAGAATATAGTTTCAACCATGAGTCATATTTGCATAATACACTTTTCAGTAAGGTCATCAGCTTAATTGTACCTCAATGGGCTATAAAATTTTCAATATTATCTAATTGCACCCCTGGTCTTATTAATGAATAATATTCATCCATCCATAGACTCAATTACTCCTGATTAGCCTATTGAATTTAGCCCTCTTGAGTTTGATACCATAAACAGAAAATTATAAAAGTGGCTGCAGATTGAAGATACACTGCTCACACAATGCATGTTTATATTTATTTCTTTTATAAATATAACAATGGTTATAAAAATACCAGCCAACAACAAAATCAGATAACATGGTAATTAAGGATAACAATGCAGATTCATAACAATGTGTATAATGTGCTTAATACATCTCAGTTCAATGTTCCAACAAATTGCATGACAATTAATAAGCCATCTCTAGCTTGCTTTATTTCATAGCATCTTCATCCTGAAAAATATAAATGGAGATCTGATCAAGATTTATTCACAAGGTGCAAGAAGTTAAAAAATCAATTAATTATAAGCCATGATAATTGATTTGAATTTGACAAGGCAAACAAGATAATATATTAACTAGGTTTTAACAGTCACCATCATCAGAGGTTGAAATTTACACTGTTTGCAGCAAAAATCTTATTACTTTGTATCAGCACCCACTCCACACTTTTGTCAGTCAGATCATGTTAATTATTGCTTAAATCTAATAGACTCACTGGGGAAAGGTTTACCTATTCACATTATTGTTTGCTATCATGAAAACAAAATAGACCAAACTCAAAGATTGACATTGCCAGGAATTTAATTCCTTCCCCACACAAGTCAAGAAAATGATAAAGTTTGAGTATATAACATTGCACATGTACCAAAGGTCTAAAATAGTATATTTGCTGTTTGTACAAGTTTTGATGGATTTATATGGCTCAGAACCTTTGGTAATCAGTTTATATTCGAGTCCAAAGGCAAAAAACTGAAATTGTTTTAAAAACCGGCTTACCTGGATGCCATAAAATAACAGCCGAATGACAAAAATCATTCCCCCGATAAGTGAATTAGGCCATTCAAAACGTCAGACATATAGAGCACAAGGCTACGTCTCCTTTCCATTTGTTGAACAGGAAAAAAGAGGATTTATATGAAAAACAAAAATATATACCGAAAGCTGAAAATATTTTCATAAAAACCAGGAGGGAGATGGACACAGTTTTTCACCTTGTATCGCGGTATGTCAGTGGTAACTACCATGAGCAAAAGGAACCATGTGGCGTCAGCAAAGCTCAAAATCCGCCATGTTTTTGCGGACACTTTTTGGTGGCGAGCCGGTCCTCCAGGAATTATTATATAGCTCAGTGTTGGCAACTTTATCAACAATTATCAATAATATATCACATACATACATGTCAAACTTCGATAAAAACTGAAAAACTACCACAAAATACTGCAAAATTAATAAATATAAATGAACTTGGATATATTTTCTAAATTTCGACATAGTTTTTAGCTTCAAAATGTATTGGGAAATACGGAAATTTGTTCATTTAAAATAAAGTTTTTGAAAATATATTGTCGAAATTTTCTTGTCGATAGGCGGGATCCAATTTACTCTACATTACGTCACCTTCGGAGTCAATCGGAGAAATCCCGAGTCAATCCTATTGGCTGCTGAAAAGTCGGAAAATTTCCGAAGATTGCTCCATGAGAGAACAGCCAATAGGATGAAAGTGATAATTTATTCACATTATTAGTACTAGGGAAATTTACAATAATCAATCATGCATTAAAATTAAGTATAATAGTTCTACAGACTATTTACAAAAACAACTTAACTAGACTACTCGCTAATGTTGGAGTTCCATTCCGACAACGTAATGTCGTTAGTTGATGTGATGGACGCAGTCCTCCAACTTCGACTGCCACGAACACACACCACGCGAGCTCTAAGCAAAGCAAAGGCGATCTTTCGTCGTAACCAGCTAACCACCATAGATGGAGAATGATTCTTCTTGTCAGCCAGCTTCGCACCCAGGAAGGAAAGAAAATGTTGGGTCTCTCTTCCGCATCCGCCAAAGGCGCTGAAGACGACCGGTGTGAAGGAGCCATGCTCGACCTCAACAATCCGTTGGTTGTAATGTCGCTTCTTTTCCCGTTCGTTGGCTTTAAACGAGCTGCTCAACGTCTGGCGTCGATGTGTAGAGGCGTATGGGTTAAACACCCTTACATCAAAAAATGCCTTTTCACATCTCTGCCAGAACCTCTCGCAGCAATGTCCACTCTGGCGTCATCGGCTGAGTTAGCACTGGATGGAAGAACCTCGCCAGTCAAAGGAGCAAGAGCAGGTTCAATTGAAACATCGTAAGCAACGTCATCGATAGCAGCAGCAAGTAGATCACGGATCTCATTATGTCTTCGATGGATAAAACCTCCTTTCAGGCACGACAGGGCATGATCTACCGTGAACGATTTTCCACAAGCGCAGAAAGATGGAAGGCGTTTCAAAGGCCATCGATAACGCATGTAGATTGCATCAAAGAACTCACGCTTGGTCAAGATGTAGCCCTCTTCAGCAAGTGGCAGAGCAGTTAGCCAAGCTGAGGATCCTTTCAACTGGGCGAGGTCATTTGCTCGAATCTGCTCTTCACTCATGCTCGATCTCAAGTTCTGTAGCAGCAACGAGTTCCTAGCTTGACGTTGTTTTGCAATCTCACGGCGAAGATCGTGGATGGAATCTCCATGTTCTGCTGATGGTGTACCATTCTGGTGGATGATTCTACTTGAGAGAAGATGACAGATGGTTGTGGAGTTCAAATGTTCTTCATCGCAGATGTCGTTAAAGATCGGAATACCAAGACCTCCCATACGAGCTGGAAGCGAAACCAATTGTCGCTCATGGATGGACAAGCTACGGTTATCGAGGAGCGCAGGAAGGAGCTTCAGGTTGATGGTGTCGTCAACAAGCTGCATCGCGGTCTTGATACCTGGAACGGCACGAATGTGGTAAGTAAATCTGTGCCGAAAACCCGAGACAAACGCCGTGTATGCTGCTTGGGGTTGGAATTTGGCAATTTCACTCAAAACGTGAAGTTGCTGGCACCATTTACTAACTAAAGAACTAATATACTTATCTTTTCCGTCATTCGATCCAAGATATCCTCCAAGGTACTTATGCCCTTCACTTGAAATTCGTACATTAGTTCCAGCGAAGATCTCAATGGCAGTCTGCTCCAGGTGTGGCTTCACAATCAACCAGGATTTATCAGCTCGCGGGTAGTAACCAAGACTCGGACCATGCACGGCAATCTTCTCCCACCAGGCACGCAGTTGCATTAGCTTACCTGCCCCACTAAGGTCATCCGCGTACGCAACATGCCTTACATCACTAGCTTCACCAGATTTAATCATGAGCAGGAGTGGAGTAATGGCGACGGCGTATAACGGCATGGCTAACGGATCACCTTGCGTGGTACCTTCAGCTGATGCAATTTCTTTACCACCTTGCACGAACAATCTTGAAGCTGTTACATAACAATTGAACGTATAAACAGCCATTGCAGGACAAATGTACTGAATGTTATGTAACATGATCTTGCGGTTGATGGAATTGAACGCATTGGTGGCGTCTACCAGTAAGACAGCGTCTGTTTCTTCTTCTTCAAAAATCTTCGACATGGCGTGAACAGCAGCCTCGCAGCCTGATTGTTGTCCTGCACATAGCTGCAAGTCTCCTGCGCTATCCATGATTTGTGGTTTAATGGCAAAGACAATTGATTTTCCAATTATCCGTCGTAGAACCTCTCCAATCCCAATCGGTCTGACACCAGGGTTCTTGTCCAGAGGTATTAAGCGACACGCTAAGAAGGTCTCTAAGCTGGTGGTCTGATCTGCTCCGATAACGACCTTCTGGGTTGCAAGTGTTCTCGCCATTAACGCTATTGCGGATCGTAGATCTTTGCCGGCATCTCCATAGTTGCGAGACACCAAAATATGCCGCCATCCAAGTGCGTCAAGACCTGAAGGACCAGCAGCACCTTGAGTCCTCAATGCTGCTTTTGCTATGGCTGCCTCGTCGATGTTGGCGAATAACGATGGATCGACATATGGAATTTCACCATCAATCATGACGGAATGATCCTCAGGTTGTGCAGGTGGATGTTTCTGCAAGAGGTCCTTGTACACAGCGTCATTAAGAGGAAGAACTCCACCACATGATTGTTCATCCAACAAACGTAGAGCTGCGTTCACTTTGCCACGAAACATGAGGCTAGCGAAGGTCTTGGAAAGCTGTTCATTCGAAACCTTTCTAGTAGCCAGTAGTGTCGACTGGATGGTTCTGCATTCCCGAAGTAACCCATCAAAGTTACCTTGTTGCCACAAAGCCATGCGCCGAGACAGACAAGTCACATGGTCTTTCGATCTCGATTTGAAACTCGGTTTTTGTAAGAGAAGAGCAGGCATGATCATAGTAAGTTTTAAAGAAATATCATGCAAGATCTCCGAGTTACTGTTCCAAGCGTTAACAAGTCTCTCCAGTTCCCTGACGTATGACTTTCCAGCAGCTCCACTCGGCAACATAAACAGATTTTTGCGCCAAATAACCACCTCTTCATAGGCTGCGTTAACAACTTGCTTTAGATCGTCTTTAGTGAGGCTGCCCCAAACACATGGTGATCCGCTATTTTGAGAACTTGAGGGAGTAACCGGATCGACAACAATAGAACCAGGCATACTTGATGTTTGTCCATCTTGTTGACTCGCTCCACCAGTTGCGTGTTTTTTCCTGCATGAATTTAAATGTAGCGACCGTCCTCGTTCCGAACCAAATTGTCTCGGGCACAAATTACATGAAATGCGCGCTCTCCGTCTTTGCTTTCTTGCGGCATAGTTTCTAATTAGCGTGCTTCGTCACCAACCAATTTACCAAATCACGTAGCACGCGGTTAACGGAATAACGTTCGCAAATATAATTTAACGGTCCAAACTCGAGGAATAGCAAAATATTTGCGTAAAAGTTCCAAAAATATATATAATATAACCAATTCGAACTCACAGAATTCACAGTTGAAGTAGCACTGGAAATTATTCACGCTAAAAGCAATGAACGCGTAACCACTCCAATGACCAATGTTCGATGTCCAAATCTTGATAAAGTCACAAAATGCGCGAAAACACCAAGTTAACAAAAAATAACACCAACGTTGTTTTAAAGATATCCTTACTTAAGTAATAACGCAATAATGTTTCTAAAAATTTAGCAGTAATTGTGTAAAAATTTCAAATGTCACGGAGCACTATTTTTTAGCGTCTTTACGCCATAGTGCGCGTGCGTTCCCAATAGGATTGACTCGGGATTTCTCCGATTGACTCCGAAGGTGACGTAATGTAGAGTAAATTGGATCCCGCCTATCGACAAGAAAATTTCGACAATATATTTTCAAAAACTTTATTTTAAATGAACAAATTTCCGTATTTCCCAATACATTTTGAAGCTAAAAACTTTGTCGAAATTTAGAAAATATATCCAAGTTCATTTATATTTATTAATTTTGCAGTATTTTGTGGTAGTTTTTCAGTTTTTATCGAAGTTTGACATGTATGTATGTGATATATTATTGATAATTGTTGATAAAGTTGCCAACCTTAAGATAAATTAATATATGCAATCACTGAGTAGCGTGTACGCGCGCGGACCACGAGTGTTGGGCTACCTATGCTGCGTTGAGACGATTAAATTTCATAAATGGCACAAGGTTTTACATTTAACGAAAGGTTAAATTAAGTTTGCATGACCCCAAATTTAAGTACTCCTGACATATACGGCCGATGAATGTTGTATTTATAATGTGACATGCAGCCTTGCAAATTTCTATTCCACATAATTAGTAAAACGGTCAGAATAAATTAAAAACAGCCAAATTTCGTGCAAACAGCTGTTCCCATCGTGAAGTTTTCCAATGGTATCGAGCGACAAGTGAAGGCGGAGAAATGGGTAGTAAAAACTGGAACGGGTGGTCAAGTTACAAGAACTCAATTACCATTGCAGTTAGCCTGGGCTATATCTATTCACAAGAGTCAGGTATTTTATGTAGAATGCGTTACACGTTGTTTTCGATTCTCTTTTACGTGTACTTATATAATCTTATATACATATGTGCATAACTATGATGTATGATAGCTAACCACCACAAATTTTCTTCAAACTCACACTATACACTTACTGTACGTAATGATTTTAACCATCAATAATGATGTAGCTACATATATGCAACACCCCATATTGTTATCTTAAACTCTCCAAGATGAGATATACGGTATATATTGCCTATCAGGCGAAGTAAAGAGGTATAGTAACTCCAAAGTTCTCGATTGTTACTTATAGGGTATGACACTTGACTGTGTGGAAATATCACTATCCAGAGTTTTTGAATGCGGTCAGGCTTACGTGGCGTTATCCCGAGCTAAGAGTCTAGAAGGTCTTCGTGTATTGGACTTTGATAAAAGCTGCATAAAAGCTCATCCACAAGTTCTAAATTACTACGTTCGACTCAGAAGGCAAGCAAAACTTGAAAGCTGCCAGGCCATACAATGAAAACAACACAATAAAACAATACAAAACTTTAGTCATAGTTATACGGTAAATACATTATTTATATTTTCGGTTTTCATTACATGAAGTTCTGTTCATTTGAAATATATATATATAATTATATAATATATGTATATATACTAGTATAGTTATAGTTGCATATAATATAGCTATATGCCCGTAAATGGTTTGTATTTATTAATATTAATATTAAGAATTGAGATGAAATGTTTCGTTATATTCATACATTGTTTTAGTATTTTTGTCAATTTCGAAAAACAAAGAATAAAAACTGGGTTGAATATGACATATATGATACTTAGAAGCAGGGAGGTTCGATAGAAAAATAATTTCACGAGCTTTTGGTAAATGAAAACAAAACAAACACACTTTTGCTCGAACATAAGATATACGAAAGTCAGATAATCTAAATTGAAGTTGTAAAGAAGACGCATGCACATATATGCACAAATATTTACATTGCGCGCAATTATTGATTGAAGAAAATGAACAGCGATGAGTGACGCAGTAGGCGGATATATCTGACCTTGATCACTGTCAAAACATACCAACAATTTGACGCAGTTAATGCTTAAAAGTAGATTAACGTCAGTCACGCTTTAACAAATACAAGTAGCTACTCTGGTACTTTCAGCAAGGGGGGGGGGAGATATACCACGACCCTTCAGCTTTGTAGAATTAACGTATCCGAAAAAAACCTTTGATGAACGCAAACAAACTTCCACTGCACAATGTGGCAATTATCGCGCAACTGACATTCCATCGTGCAATGTGTATAAAAGAGGGTTATCTAACATCAGCAAATATTGAATACGAATATTCAGAAATGCGCACTGAATCTTGGTTACGCAATTTTTCGATGATAATTTAATTTCGCCTTGTTCTTTGTAGATACGAAGGGATGATTTGAAAATTTTTCATAATATTTGCCTGATTCCCTCGAACCCAGGTTGCTCCCCCCCCCGCCCAACTGACAACTATATACGTTTAGTGCATCGTTTCAAGTTTAGACTTGCAGATCCAGAGCCAGAGGTATCAAATGTCAATCAATTAAGTGTGTTATTGTTGAATCTCGTGCGGACAAAATTGATCATGACTCTTTTACAAGTAATTTCTAGTTTATTGGTATTTTCTATGTTTTGTGACTGTTTTCAGTTCAATACAAGAGAATGCGTGGCATCCTGTGAGAATAAGGTGGGTATCAGATCATCTGACACTTGTAGTCTCGGTCTGTGCATGCATGATAGTAACACACGAAATGTGACATGATAATGTAGTAACGCGTGTATTAAATGTCCCGACTAAAATTAACCAATGAATTAAACAAATTTTGTCTTACCTCACCCGGATCCGTATTCGCGCCATCTACAAGTTTATATATAGATTTAGATTTTGACGTTATATTGTCTATTCAAAAAACCTGCATGACTGTTGTGTTTATCTAAGTCACATCTGCATCTTTGAATACACTGACAGCAAATGCTTTTCAACACTTGAATATACCGAACAATTATGTAATCTTTGGCGCTCGTGGTCGGTGCATCGATCATTATCGATTGTTCCAATGTGTTCGAATCATGATATAGCTATTCAGTAGTCCAGTCTTTCATTAATACAATAGGAAAAACACTTCCACGGCTACGTTAGGTCGCCTTAATTCCGGGACGTTCTTGACTTTAATTTTTTGAAGTTTTTTTCTATTTGCAATCAGGGTATGAATATCTGACGTACTATATGTATTTTATTGTATCGATCACCTATAGCTATATATTCTGTATTCTTTAAACATGCATATTTAAGCTCGTTGTTAGTTTTCATTTTCGAAATATTTACAACCCTATATCAGCAATAATCATAACTCTAAGAAAATATTATAACTTCTACGAGAGTTTAAGTACTTAAACTTTCAGCAAAGACTAAAGTATATAGCTTTATTTTTCTATAATTTTGTAGAGAATTTCGAGCTCGTACGGTAAAGGATTATGCGATGCATTATGTGTGCAGGATTCGATTGATAAACGTCTAAAACAAGGTACATATATAGAAACCTTAAGAGTTAAGATATACAACATGCAGTCATCGACTTCGTCGACAACGCTATAATATAAGTGAATTGAATATTTAAGATAAATGGAAGTTTTAGACGGCGTCCTATAGCTGTTGACAATGCGTGCATGTTTTGTAGAAACGATCCGTGAATTCTTGACATATGTTTTATAAAAACGATCTGAATTCTTGACACATGTCAATCTGAAATTCAGTTCAGTAAAAGTTTTTCTACCTTTTATAGCGATTTCCTGAACTTTGTTATTGTACTGAATTCATGCATGCATGGAATTAATGATATATGACATGCAGGTTTTCTTTTCGACCATTAATTTGAGGGAGTTTATTCCATCCGTTGTCGTCGCATCGCTGTCATGATATAAATCATAAGCTCTTCAATAATATATCAGTTGCCGTGCTGTCAAACGTGACGCATGCACATTCATACGAACCCAACTGAGGAAAGCGCGAGACTACTCTACGTAATTTGCATACAATGCATAGTGCAGACTGAACCGAAGCACATATACCAAGAAAGTTCCGAGTTCATCTCTCGCATAATTTCGTTTAGCATTTTACTAGAGGTTTATGATTATAGATATCGTTATTTTCTTCCTATAAGTCTATTATTTTGACGTTTCTTTCATTTTCGCCAATCACGCATGAATACATGACGCATGGATGCATGCACAAGGATATAACCGCGCTGTTCTTTATTCATAATTGAAGGGGGAAAATTATTTGGGAAATTAAGGTTTTGGAAATGAAGTGATTATTAATTATGATATACTTGAAATTTTTTAATTCCGACAGATTTTGAAAGAAAATTACCAAAGCCAGCGATACCAAGAGCTTTTGAAATTGGATGGGAGAGGATAGGTTTGGATTTCAATTCAACGGAGTTGACAAACTACAGTGGAGTGCGTTATATATTGGAAGTAAAGCCGGATTGGAAAGGTCACCAGAAAAAGGATGTATTTACCGTTTATCCATATATACAAAAATACCATTACGTAAGCTGAGAAAAATGTTAAAATATTTATAGTGCATATCATTGTTACGTTACCATTTGAGTTGGCCAGATACAGTGTTTTCTCATGTGCTAGCTATATATATTAGTCCAATATCTGTCGTCTATCAGAAGACAACTGTTTAAGTGTAGCGATAACTGTTTAACAAATAACTGTTTAAGTGCAGCGATATATGACCAGACATTTCCTAACAAAAGGCAAAAGCCTCAGTACCCTCGTAATCACTTTATTGTCATACATGTATTAATATATTTCGTTTTGTGCTGCTATATCCTGTGATCCATCAGACGAATGAAACAACATACTTCGTGAAGAATCTTGAACCAAATACCGACTATCAGTTCCGTGTTATGGCTGTAACGACGGACGACTCGTCAACCTTTAGCAATTGGAGTAATACAATATCAACAACAAGTAGGTTGAATTTCTTAATAGACATGTTAATTCATGCATTAAAATACTATACTACATGATGATTTATACTGCATGCATGGGTGCAAAGGAAACACTGCATGAAACAGTATTTTGTTGACCCGAGACGGGACAAGTTACAATGCGTATATAGAGACGACTGAATGACACGTTATTATTTAGCATGTATGTCACGGTTTCTTGATAATGATATGTTGTTGTATGTGAAAACATTTTTCGTAGAAAGTTGCTCAAATCCTCCATGTGGTGTGAGCAAATTGCGCGTAGAGATCACGACCGACGTGCCTTACAAGGGGATGGTGTTCTTAAAATCGGTACTTTACTGGGAGCCTACCACACGTACGTATGTTATACAATTGTCATGAATGCCCGTGTAATAATACGTTTACAATTGTTTTCAATTGACATTATCTTTTTTCTCATTAATTCTTTATAGTTAAATCCTCTTATCAGGATTACATATTTGTACGCACTCTTAGACGCGCCTCACACGCTGTATCATTTTGTGGCGAATACTTTGAAAACAATTTACGAAGTGATAGAGAAAAACTAAAAAATCAGGTGTGTGCATCTTTCTTTAAATTGTCGAATATGGCAAGTTTGAACGTAAATTTTTCATGTATAATGGCTGAAGAATGATGTGCAGAGTACATGAACATGGAAGTAGGATATGCATGCCTCTATTTGCTCATGCATGCATGTGTACGCAAAAAAATTGACAATTTTCCTCGACAAAGAACCTTGTTCAAAAGCTAGTCATGCCAGCTGAAAAAGTAGGAAACTGCGCAACAATATTTTCAAGCCAATTGAGCGGTTTTTGGGAGTTTTCGTTCGTATACTCATTTTATTATATATTGTTGAATATATAAATATACTCGACATATATATTATCTTGTCAAGGAAAACTTGCCCGCCTGTACGGGGCTTTACACTAGAGAACAGTTCAAATGCAATTCCACTACTGAGGCATCTAAAGTTGTCAAATATACAAACATTTCTTTTGATCTGCTAACTTTTCCTAGCATTTCAATTCTAATTGCATTGCTCGTTGCAAGGAAAATTACATAGTGTACTGTAACAGCGCCTCTACTGTATTTTATAGGATATTTTCACCAACAGGAACCTTACTACATACACTCCACGTAAAGATGAGACCCTGTATTACGATTGTTGGTACACTTTTGAGGTTTGATTTTAAACACTGAGAATTTGTAGGTGTAGCTATATCTGTCTTGTGGAGCCAAAGTACAGCGAGCGCGGGTAAGGAGCTAAGGGTAGTCCCTATAGGTAGTCCTTATAGTGTAGTACCCGGCTATATGGTAGTCCTAATAGTGTAGTCCCTAAAGGGTAGTCTCTATAGGGTAGTCCTTTTAGTGTAGTCCGTATAGGGTAGTCTGTATAGCGTAGTCCTAATAATGTAGTCCCAATAGGGTAGTCCCTATAGGGTAGTCCCCATAAGGTAGTCCTTATAGTGCAGTCTCCATAGGGTATAGTCTCTATTGAGTATAATCTTTATAGGGTAGCCCTTATCATAGGGTAGTCCTTATAGTGCAGTCCCCATGAATAAGGTGTAGTCTCTATTGAGTATAATCTTTATAGGGTAGCCCTTATTATAGGGTAGTCCTTATAGTGTAGTCCCTATAGGGTATAGTCTCTATTGCCTGGGTATATAGTCCTTATACAGGGTGTATCAGAAAAAACTAGAAGATTTTAAAATGTCCAGAAAACTATCATTTTATCAAAATATCTCAAAAATATATTTACGTCTAAGTATTTTAGCATCTCCTGGCTTATCTAACAGTAAAAACTATCAGAAAAATTAACCTAAAAAAGCGGGAAAACGGTTTGTAAAAGCCTCATTTTTTACCGCTTGCGCAAAGAAAATGAGAGGTTCAAAATCCATGTTCATTTAAAGAGATGAAAGTTTGGACTTTTTTGTGCAATGTATTAAAATTTCAAAAAATTTGATAAACGTTAAGTCCGCCGTGATACGTTTCAAAATTGGATTTTTTTCCGTTTACTCCGCTCTCGCGTAACCTTTTTTCATGCATGATTACATGCATGAGTGATGGTTCGAATGACGTACTTACAATCCTATTGTTATACCTCCTTACATTGATGCTGTATCTAATAATGCTATTGCTAAAAATAAACTACACAAAAACGTCAAACAGTACACAATTACAAACAAGAGCAGAGTTTACAAAATTTGTTGTTAGTTCTCTACATGTCCTCCATTTCTTTGCACGCAAACTTCTGCCCTACTTTTGCATTCTCCAGGTGTAATTACCAGAGCTCTTTGTTAAATAAAACAATGAAACAAGAGTATTCATTGTTAGTTTTGTTTTAAGTACGTCATTCGAACCATCACTCATGCATGTAATCATTCTTGCATGAAAAAAGGTTACGCGAGAGCGGAGCAAACGGGAAAAAGTCCAAATTTGAAACGTTTCACGGCAGACTAATTGTTAATCAAATTTCCTGAAATTTTGATACATTGCACAAAAAAGTCCAAACTTTCATCTCTTTAAATGAGCTTGGATTTTGAACCTCTCATTTTCTTTGCGCAAGCGGTTAAAAATGAGGCTTTTACAAACCGTTCTCCCGCTTTTTTAGGTTAATTTTTCTGATAGCTTTTACTGTTAGATAAGCCAGAAGATGCTAAAATACTTAAAGGTAAATATATTTTTGAGATATTTTGATAAAATGATAGTTTTTGGACAATTTAAAATCTTCTAGTTTTTTCTGATACACCCTGTATAGGGTAGCCCCTATTATAGGGTAGTCCTTGGCTTAATTCTCATCCGCTCCTTGTATAAGCTGAATTCCGAAGACTCGTCCACGTGTTTCACCAAATTCATCAGCTTTCACTTATTTTATTGTAGTTGTATTTGCAACGTTTTTTTTGGGGAAAGTTAGCTGTGAGAGAATGGAAATTTTATGTACCTGGTATACATGCATTTATTAAACTATTTTATCATTCTTAATGATACTAGATTGCATGATTGCGCTGGCGAGGTTAATTAATTCGAGGTGGATAAATCCAAACCAAGTCTGTTGTTTAGCTCTAAAACTCACAACCTCGTACCCAGGATTTTTCCTTGTTTGAAGAACTGAAGGTGCGCACGTTCACATACATCGATTTATCGGGCCGATTTTCGCTACTGCCGGCTCAACGCGTAAAGAATGGTAATAGTGAAAGTCCAACGAATCGCTTGTATACAGGATTACCCAACTTTGTTTCAACATTGTTTTCCTGACAATCAATTGTATTACAGTGACTATACACTCCAACATAAATAATTGTACTTTTGTACCTTTAGGTTGCATAACGGTCAACACCTCCAAAATTTGTGGTTGCCCATGTAAGAAGTCATATAGCATTTATTTGTAATGGGTACTTCACTTTGCAATTCACGTAACTTTCTCCCCTTAAGCATGCAGATTGTTATAAAAAATATTTGAAAACCTAAGTCAGTGAGTGGTGATGTCGTGACACCAATAGTTTACGTGTATTATTATATATCAAATATTATTATAATTATTAATGAACTTTATAATTACGTCACCCAATGATATATGCCAATCCGTATATGCAAGACATGAAGTCAAGAATTTCTCGTAAATCTGCTTGCACTCCGTTGTATAATTTTGTTGAATTTTTTGCGGACGATGTAGATGTTGGCATCCAAGATGACACAAGACATTACGTATTAAATGTTACCATCACGTCATCGGACACTTCGGTGATCGCTAATGTAAACTGGAATGATAATTTGTGGCGGAATGATGTCAATGTCACGTACTATTTGATCGAACTTTACGACACGTCGAACACCTTTGCAGCTCTCCAAACCGAATACTACGACGCTCACGCGAACGTAAGTATATAATATAGGAACGTTTCCTTCAGTTTTCGTCTGAAATTTTTTCACGCGCGAGGAATGGTGACTCCGGTTTGTGTGGCAAAAGATATCGTTAGTTAAGAGAAAAAAACATAATCGCTGCGGCTTTCTGCGGCTTATCGTTCGCGTCTTAATTCAGAAGACTTCAAAGCTCCAAGGGTTTAAAGTAATCTAAAGTAATAATAATAAAGTAATTTAAAGTAGATTAAACGTTTATGCCACCCAAGATGGTAGACTGCTTTTTGATATACGTCATCGGTGGAAGAGCCCAACAACAGGCAATTATTTCTAACAAATTACTGACGAGAGGAAAGTGAAGCTATGTAGAAGCTTCGCGTCATATGTCAACAGCAGGCGAAGTAAAGTAAAATTCGCTATATCAGAAATAGGGTGAAACTGAGAATTACTGGGAGCTATTATAAATACAGTAGTCGTTACTGCATGGGCTAGTTTCCTTTGCTCTCGAACTTATCCAGTCTCGTGCATAAGTGCATGTCAATATCGTCGTAAATGGATATGATCATACTCGTGTCATACTTCATGCAGATGTACATCTGAGTACTTTTTGGCAACCCGTGCATGTTCTAAAAACTGTAAAATTTTTACAGGTCCACAACTATAACGCGTCGTTCACGAAACTAAATGCTGGACAAAAGCACAGAATTAGAGTAAGTACAATCAGCATCAAGCTCGTACCCAGGGTCTTTTCTCCCTGCTCAGACTCCAGCCTAGTCCATAGGCCTCTTATTCGTTCCTTAGTACACGATCGAAAGCAATAATACCATTTCCACTCATTATTCTTTCTATATACTGGTCTTTTATATAGTTGTCAGCATTTCATGGTGATCACTGTGTGCATCATAAGATCGATACTGTATTATTCTTTGGTATACGAATATAAATTTTCTACAATGAAGTTGGTGTTTTTTTATTGTTTGTATATAGCATGCACTGACTTAGCTTCCAATCTATTGTTTATTCTATATCAAAGGACATCATCTATAGCACGGACGCAGTTTTAAGATGTTTTATTGCTCCATTCTTTTCCAGCGAAAGACCCGTGTGTGAACGCATCATGTCCTGAAAAAAGCACTTGTCGTCCAGATTTCTACAAAGGAGATTACGATTGCGCATGCGATTCTGAATACGTATTGTTAGAGGGTAGGTGTGTAGGTGAGTAAAACTAATTTAATTATGCTTGGATTAATTACTATATATTTTGCCAGATCTGGCAATCAATATATTAATCGATCAATGTATACGATTCAATGGGGTCGTGACCTTGATCCGCATATTAAAGAATTTTTCTCTTGCAAATATAATTTTTTTATTGTAAAATCTCGATCCAAATTTAATTTCTTTAAAAAAGGAAATTATATTTTATCTGAAGACGGACATTTTTTTCAATTTGAAAAAAAAATTCTTTTTAGAAAATAATAGTATAATCATTGCTTAGCTGAACAAGATCTATAAAATTCTTATTTTAAAAAAACTGAAAGCAGTTTGGCTAAACTGAGCAAGGCCAGGATGAAATTATTTCCACCAACGGGCTGAAGTGTATTTTTGGCCAGAATATTTTTACTCCGCAAAAGGAGCAAAAACATATATTTCATTCCACGAGGCACTTGAGAAAAGTCCCCGTGGGTCAGGCTATGCAAAAATGTTTATATGCGGAAACGTCAAATTTTATCCTAAGGTTTATCTTTTTTTGAAAAGCTATTATTAAATTTGACGCTGCTGCATGGATAATAATTTTTGACCAAACTCAGTCCAAATGCTGGCTATTTATTATTATTCACGTCACAGTTTATCCAATGAATTAATCTTCTTCATCAAAAGTATTTGTTCAACTAATGGAAAACTCGTTTTGGCCGCTTGGGGCATTTAGTAGTCATCCGGTATACGTGCAACGAAAGAAATATGGCTCGATAATGTTTTTTTAAACTTATCGATGGTTCAAATCATTCACGAAGTGCAAAAAAAAAGGTAAGATAAGAGATCGTGTTGATATAATTGCAATTGCATAGTATTTATTTACCTACGAGAAAAATTATCTATGCAAGTATTATAACGATGTAAAACTAGCCAGCTATAAGTATAACGCCCTTTAACGGGCTGATAAAGGAACTCTGGAAATTCTGTTTAGATTTTCAGTTGGCTTATAGGAACTCGTATTTTTTACTGTTTAGCAATATATAAAGCATGACTTTTTCACACTTTTCTATTGCTTCTATTGTTTAATAATTTGTTCGAGTCTGGCCACCACATAGTTAATGCGAATAATAGCATTTTTCTCAAGATAAAAATATAATTTCTTGGCACGCAGGTGCCAATATAGCGCGACATTATATATTATTTTTCGATGTATAGTTTGTTTCAATTTCAATATATATTTAACTGATCGATATCGCAAAGCTATATAAGATTTATTGCAAAGCTGATTTATAAATTCGAAAAAATTTCACCTTAAAGTGTCTGAACTGAGGCTATAGGGCTATATATGTAGCTAAATGAGAGATTAAAAAACAGATCACGAATATTAAAATTAGTTGAGCTCTATATATAACACACAAAATTATAACACGCATACAACAATTATAACACATATGCTTTGTTATATAAACATGCAAGACCTACGGATTCGAATGATTCATGAAAAACGCGCATTCCGCCGGAACTGTGCTGAAAATCATCAAGAAGGATTTATTAAGCATTTTACAACTATAAATATATTACGCAGCTGTGGACAAGCCCACAAAAAACTTTGAGATATGGAGATTTCTAAACATAGTAAATGCACGTGGCCTACGTGTTATAATAAAAACGGGACATTTATCTTTTTTCTCCATAATAAATCAACGTCAGGCTGAACTTTTCTGTGCGCCAACCAGTATATACTGCATTCGGTAAAACCTGCATAATATGTTTTCATAATGCAATACATCCGAATATATGCATATATGGCTTTTATAGGGTTTTCTTTATAATCTCTAACGCCTATAGACTATAGCTACCATTTTGGCAAAAATATTTATCATTAACATTGTATAACGTAACATTTATATTCATATATATATAACATACACGTTACTATATATTATATTATAATTATACATTTTTTGTCTGAATATTGCTATGACAAAATCGTTTTCGCCCAAAACATGTTTGTCAGTTTGTTCTCATTTTGGCATTAACCTGTAAAATTGAAATAAAAAAGTAAACAAAGGACTTTCGACCGTATTTCTATCGGCTAGCCGAATCAAGACATCGGTTGGTTGATCAGTAAATAATCATGAAAATGCACATTAATTGACATTTGAGACCTTAATGAATACTTCACACTTTCATTTCACACATGGCAAGTTTTAGATATTTTCCCTTTCTATTTTCGGTGTTTAAAAAAACATTCAGGCTTGCATTTTCACCGCCTGCAAGCATTTCAATAATGCGGACTTGAAAATCATATATGTAAACGCGACTCGTTGGCGACGCGGTACAATAATTATATATATCTAAAACTATAAAAAAAAACATGCCAAATGGCCCAAAACGCTAGATCATATTTGACTAAAGTGATTTGGTATTACGAAGAATATTGCTATTGAAAACGTCAATCATCTTTATCTATATTCGCACGCATGATGTATATATTTGATATATAGCATCCACCGCACTGGAACGAGTCACCGTCGCCGTTGGGAGCTGACAAAAAATTGAAAACCAATTCATAGACATATATTTTAGGGCGCATAGCTATATAGCCATAGTAGCTGTAGCATATGTATCTCCATATATCATTGCCTTCTATAGGCCATGTAGGGAGCCGGAAATTGTCCCTTTATTGCTAAATGAATTTTCACCTATGCTTTGACTAATATTGCAAAATAGTAGATCTAGAGTTGTGATCAATAGCATATATACTGTTGGGATATTAAAGTTATTTGGATTAATTGCTGAGGCACTGGATAGGGACTTGCAAGTTGATGCTTTGACGTGTTGCTGTGGATATTATTAAAATACAATAAAAGAAACATATACTCCGAGGAATAACATCTTGTAAACTCAAGATATGATCTATAGATATTAGAGTTAGAGCTGTTGGACTTTCAAGTTCGACAGCGTTACTCCTGTATTCACAGTCCTTAATTCTTCATGATCGTTTAAACCTTATAAGGATGAGTGGCTAGGATCGCTCCCCCCCCCCCTCGGTCTGTTAAGTCTATTACTTCGCTAGAGTATTACTATATGATATCGAGATTTCGCTATAATATGGATTATGGAGTAGTTGGATGCGCAATTAACAAAATGTAGTTATATGATAAAATTATATTCTTACGAAGAAAAAGCGAATCATGAATCACGATGGTTGTTGCATGCATGGCCATTCCTTTACCATGCATGTGACCCCGTTGGCTTTTTTACTGAAATGTAAAATATTTCGCCTGTTTTTTTTTAAACTTGAACATTTCCTTCGAAAAGATGATTTGTACCTGCCTTTTACATGGGTAAAATTCAAACTAAATGGGCTAACTGATATTTCGGGTTTCGGTGGAGAACACCCATATAGCCGTGGCCGTGCAACCATGCTCAGCAAAGTAAGACATATTTTGCGTAGTTGGCAATATTAATTTTTTTATATACATGTGACATCAGTCATGACAAATAATAATGTTGCGTGAATCAGCTGTCAAGGTGATATTAAAGATCAAGAAGACCAAATTAATTGTTGTGCAGCCATGGGTGCAACTGAGCGTCTGGAGACACTGACAAACAGTCTTACAAATACAAAATACACGGTGTAAAAGGAAAACACCACCGCTATAAATATATATATACTGTATTCGCATTCTATTCTGTCACTAAAGATCTCGTGAATATTTATAGCATTGTGTTTTTTATAGTTTATACTGTGAAACTTTAATAACTTGTCTCGCCTGTAAAGTGAAACGTAAAAAACGTTCTGGGACGAAGGCCAAATCTTTTTTTTATGTATATGAATAATATAATTATATATGTAATAGAATTATATATCAAAGAAAATTTGACTATACTTATAGGTATTACACTGGGAGTGCGCTTTATTTGCATAAGAATTAGTCTCTTCTTCCAGACCAATTTCCTTTTACCACTGTAAACAGAAGGATGCGTTTTGCGCAATTATTGATTTTCTTGTGTTTCAGGGGGATGTGTAACAATGATGCAGCAGACGGAATATCGCGAATGAATAGCATCCGACGTTAATCAGTGTAAACAGATACCAAAATTTCGATCTATATAGTTAATGTTTAAACGCGGATTAACGTCATTCATGCACGCTTTACCAAATTCAGCTTTAATGCTTTTGCCTGGTTCAATGTCGATCATACGCCGATAATGTATTGAATTATGTCCTGATATTTTAAATCACGGCTACAGCGAAGCAAGGAATGGTAAGGTAAGTTGATTTCAACATTGAACTTCACTTGCCTGCATGATTGAGATAAAAAAAGTCAAGGACATTGCTTTTTGTTTAGATCTGGAAAGGTGTCAAATGTCGAAAGTATGTTATTGTTGAATATCGTACTCATACGTGAGGAAAGTCGATCATGAATCGTCTACAAATCATTTGTAGTTTATTGTTTTTTATGTTTTGTGATTGCCTCGAGTTTGATATCGACAAATGTGTGGCAGCCTGTGAAAAAAAGGTGCGTATATTTATATCATGGCACTTTTATATAAACACTGAGCATTGTGATGGTATCACACGATAATGTAGTTACTTTATGTATATTAAATGTTCCATGTGGACTATAATTAATCACTGAGAATCAACGCAGGTTGCGACTTGCTTAACTCAATCCGTATGCAGAGTTTACATAAATTCACACAAGTTCTGAAGTTATTAACGCAAAATAGCTCCTGGCGTGGTGTTTATCTAACCAATGTCTGACTCATTGGCGAATTTTTTACATTCTTTGTTGACTGCTAATAGTTCAAGCGCCAAAACTTCGGTACTTACACGAAGCTATAACGATTATTATTTTGGAATGGTACTGAACATTTGCGTTGAATCAAAAGCTGTAGTACGTCGAGTCGCTTTGATTCTTGCTTGCTGAAATACATACAGTGCTTTATAAGCCTATGCGTATATAAGATTTAATTTGACGCTTTATAATATATGCATGTTGTATCGAGCACATATATAAGTCCATATAACACATTGCGCAAACATCTTCGCGATACGAACGGTCCTCTCACAACGATATATAGCACTTATACACTCTACATAGGATATAATTATATAGAAAGATTATCATGGTAGACAGATATTTGTAATCACTTTAGGGCTAATATTGAAAGCATTTCGAAAATTTTATAACAAATAACAATGATACATTTTCAAATGATTTCTAAAAATGGTAACTATCAAAATCTGCATGAGGTTACCCGAGATTTTCAATATATAGATTGTCTGAACGAACACAAGCGACGTCTAATGCAGGCGTTCACATGATTCATCTATAGTAGACTATAGTCTATACGGCGGGAAGAGATCGCGGTAAATTTGTTTCGTGAAATTAAGTGACAATATTCATTGTTGGATTCACGATAACAGGAGTTCAGTTTCGTGAAATGAATTAATGTTTTTTTCAAAGTTATGCATATTTGTTATTTTATTATTTTGCAGAATATTGCGACAGTTAATGATAAAGAATTATGTGGTCAATTATGTTTTAAGGAGTCTCTTGAAAGAATGCTAAAACAAGGTAATATTTTTGTTACCATGCAGGTCGACCACCAGTGGATTGTGCATTGATCAATATAAATATAAGAAAATTAAAAGGCATTAAAAGGCAAAGATATATATCGAATATGTTTAAAAAATTAGTATAGATTTAAATCCTTATATACAGTATATTCTTGCATGGAAATTTATAACTATAATAGCACCCCTCTTCAGATACTTTAAATTTTCAATTGTGCTGCTGTAATTTAATTATTTTGACGAACGCATGACCTACCTGTGACAGTAGCCCCGTTTCCACTACACTCCATTGGCACGGCACGGCTAAAATTGGTTCCCCTACCAATTTTATCTTTGCACGGTCTTTTATATTGTCTATTTTGGTAACCTGAGCACTGATTAAATTAGGTAAGGCGTAAGGGTACCGATTTTAGCCGTTCCTTGCCAGTAAATTGATATGTGCGCATGAACTTTTTTCTCGTACATGTGTTATTTACGTATTCTCTCGAATTTTCACTTCTCTCTTTACAAAAATTATCGAATACACTGTTACAATTCTGACAGATTTTGAAAGAAAATTACCAAAGCCAGCGAGACCAAGAGCTTTTAAAATTGGATGGGAGAGGATAAGTTTGGTTTTCAATACGACGGAGTTGGCAAACTACAGTGGATTGAATTATATATTGGAAGTAAAGCCTAATTGGAATGGTCCCCAGAAAAGTGATGTCTTTACCGTTTATCCATATATACAAAAATACCATAAGGTAAAATTTATTTAAAAGAACGAAGCACTGACTGTCAGTGACCTCTGCATGACATGCAATATAGCTATATTGTTGACGGAGACATCTGCATTGGAACCAAACTTTAAAACCTATAGTTCACATATCACCGACCTAATTTTCTCTTTAGTATTCTTTACATACTATTTCTGCGGAATTGAATCTTGAGAGTTCGCGAGTTCTTGCCACTCGCTTCAGTATATACAGCTCGCGCTAGTTTGCACAATATATTCGCACGTGGCTTTGAGCCTTCGAAAAGTTCGTATAAAAGACATAGACGACGGCATGCAAACATGCAGTTATAGAAAGGGCTCTGAACATTTTTTTGCTTTTTGAAAGCAAAATGAAGATTGCCAGTCTGTTTTAGACAAACCTCAGTTCGGTTTTATTGATGGCTAGCTATTACAAGATTGACAATGTTATATATGTCAATGTTAGTTGCTGCATGAATGAATACAAAACTATAATGCATGAGAAAATAGGGTTGATTTAAAATTTGGTGACCATTTAAAGTGATGATTTTCAATGTCAAAGAACCAGAACTAATAAGCACTTGCCACTAAGCATTGTTTCTCAATATAGGAAACGAATGACCTGATTTGCTTTTGTGCAGCTTAGCACAGCGGTATAAGGCCGTGAAAATTTCACGATACGATACCTATATAATTCAGCATCTATAAAAGTTTGATGTGAAAAATTGCGATTGTTTAATCAGGTAATGCACGCACAAAAACGTGTTGAAGTTGGATTATCTTTTTTTTTCATACTATACATGCAATTTCACCTAGAATTCAAGTTGTTTGACCTGATAGCCAAAGAGGTGACTATATAAGTCAGCTATATTATACCTAATTGATATAAGAGCGTGGAGTTGCTTTTTTGAGTGTAATAATAACTATATTAGTGTAATAGGTAGTTTGAACTGCAATTAAGCTTTCAGGCGAGGGTGCATGATTCTTCAGTGCTTCTATTATAAATGGTCCAAATCATGCAACAGCTAAGAAAAGTAATTAAATTAACCCTAAATACGCATGCTTGCATGCATGTAAATCACTATAGTTAATCCGAATTGATCTTTGTGCCACTTCAACCACTGATGATAGAAGTATTTGTGCATTGTATATGACGCACAAAAAGCCTAATTTGGAGGTCTTTCAAACGTTAATCAGTCTTTGAATCCCAACTTCATCGAATCGATTGCACAAGCACGCGAGCTATCCACAGCTCATGTCGTTGCCAAAGAGATATATGTAAAGCCCTTTGGCTCTGTACACAAACGAAGAAATACGAAGAATTTTCTAATTGAAGAAATACGATCATGGATCTTTAACGTTTAAATGCATTTGCTTGAACATATGTATATATATATATATATATATATATATATATATATATATATATATATATATATATATATATATATGTATATATATATATATATATGTATATATATATATATATATATATATATATATATATATGTATATATATATATATGTATATATATATACATATATATATATATATATATATATATATATATATATATATATATATATATATATATATGTGTATATATATATATATATATATATATATATATATATATATATATATATATATATATATATGTGTATATATATTTCTCCATGTTAGGCAATTTAAGTCATAGCGATGTGCAAATATGGGCGCTTATATATATATATCACTGCATTCTGTATTCCGTTATAGACGAATGAAACAACATACCTCGTGCAGAGTCTTGAACCAAATACCGACTATCAGTTCCGAGTTATGGCTGTAACGACGAACGAAACGTCAACGTTTAGCAATTGGAGCAATTGGAGCAATTGGAGTAATACAATATCAACAACAAGTAGGTTGCATTTCTTTTTAGAAATTAGATGTATACAATATGACGTTAATTTACCTGTCCGCTTGCAGCTCTACGTAGATTGCATGCACGAAGGTTTTGCGAGACTTTCGGAAAGCTGAAAGTCAAACATTTAGGATATGATAGGGAAGCCAGCGCAACCCCAAGGGAAGCCCCAAAGAAAGCTAGAGAGGCCTGTGGAGGAGGCTAGGAATATGAGTGATTTTTTAAAACACAAACGATTTGTTCAATATTTCGTGATTTGGTGATTGTTTATAAAATTACTACAATGAAACAACAGTTTAATTATATAACCTTTAAACACCACGCGCGAGGACAATTAAATTCCTCGTGCAGGCCGGGATTGATTGCAGTCGTACAGGCCGGGATTGACTCATCATGAACAACTGTGTCATGTATGATACAGGGTGCATAAAAAAGTTACACACTTCATTTCTTCCAGGCGTATACGCGCGCACGCATCTTTAAGGAAATACTTTGCTTTATAATATAACATTTATAGTACGCGCGTGCTGATTGGTCGAGAAGCGTGTTTCTATAACTGTATATACAGGGTGTATCAAAAAAATGTCCCAAATGTAAAAATTCCGTTTTTCAGGATATTTTGCAGAATTTGGCAAATTTTTGTGTTCCTAGAGATAGTTAAGACTTATCTGGTATACCTAGGCCAAGTTTGGTTTTTCCGTTAACAAAATTATGTTACTGGGGGGTGGTTCTTTTCCACTGATATTGAGAGGGCTTGCGCGCGAAAATGTGAAGCTGAAATTGAGATATTATTTAGCTGTCTAAAAGTAGGAAAGCTTTTTAATAAACTGTCAAAGTTTCAGGAAAAATAATGCAAACTGGGAGCAACGCGCGACCCCTAAAAGTGACAAATATTTCATTGCGCGCAGTGGATTAAATGGATGGTTGATTTTAGCGTGACCGATCTCATGTAAGGCTGGGCAAATGAATAAATTAAAGCGAGAAACTGAACAAGAAGACGAAGCGATTTAATAACAACATTTTTATTCTTGATGTTAATCCTCAACATTTCTACCATTTCTTTCTAAGCAAACTGCGGCTCGTCTGAGCATGGTAAACTCTGAACGGCGAACCACATTTGTCTGTCCTGCCTTAAATTATCCATTTCGTTCGAAATTCTTTCTTGCAAATCGCCTACGCTACCACCGGCAAATCTAGGCGAATAGACAGACAAATGGTTCGCTGTTCAGTGTTTAGTATGCTAAGACAAGCCGCATTTTGCTTAGAATGAAATGGTGGACATGCTGAGGATTAACATCACGAATAAATCGCTTTGTTTTTGTGTTCAGTTTCTCGCTTTAATTTATTCATTTGCCCACCTTGGATGAGATCGGTCACGCTAAAATCAACGATGCATTTAATCCACTGCGCGCAATGAAATATTTGTCACCTTTAGGGGCCGGGCGTTGCTCCCAGTATGCATTATTTTCCCTGAAACTTTGACAGTTTATTAAAAAGCTTTCCTACTTTTATTATTATTATTATTATTATTATTAGTTTATTAAAATCGTATCGCAGTACAAACTGAATTACACGATTATCGTTACATAGGGTATTAAATATTGTAAAGTGTTACAGAATATTAATAATTTATAAAATAATCATCAATATAGTCTACATAGGTAGGCCTAATTGAGAAGTTATATACAACGGTAAAATGACTTATTTACATACTTAGCTAGATTAAAATGGAATTGAATATTGTAGTTCAATATTATTTTTTTAAATATTATACTTAACTGTAACAAAGTTACGAAACCGCTCAGTGCATATAAGCGGTGGAGATCGAATATTGTTTTGATTTCGTAGATAATAATCATGAGCGGGTTCTTGGGATTCTACTTTACTTTTAGACAGCTAAATAATATCTCAATTTCAGCTTCACATTTTCGCGCGCAAGCCCTCTCAATATCAGTGGAAAGGAACCACCCCCCCGGTAACATTATTTTGTTAATGAAAAACCAAACTTGGCCTAGGTATACCAGATAAGTCTTAACAATCTCTAGGAACACAAAAATTTGCCAAATTCTGCAAAATATCCTGAAAAACGGAATTTTTACATTTGGGACATTTTTTTTGATACACCCGGTATAGAAACACGGGAATTTTCCCGCCGAACTTGTCAAGCGAAGTAATGTAATGAGAATTTGTAATTGAATCGAATTATAATATTTGTACAAAATCGTTTTATTGAGTTATATTATAAAAGAAATAGAAAAAAATTTTTCCTGTGTTTCTATACAGTTATATAGAAACACTTGTGGGAGTTTGGAAGAACTCGCACTGATTATTTCTCGTTCTCCCAAACACCCACGCGTTTTATAACGGAAAATGTTTTCTATTTCTTAAATGTGCATGTGAGCGTTGGCCTCATGCCTACTTTGGCGAACGCGCAGTAATAATTGCCCAGCGAATTGCCCAATAATAAAGGCATTGGCCAACAGACCAATCATGACAGCTCAAGAAATAAATTAAAATCTGCGTGTGCCAGTGAAATACCCAATAAGAATTGCCCAATAATAATGGCAAAAATTGATTGGTCAGTGAAAATACGATAGCAGGAAGTGAGAATATCAATCCCAGACTACTTCACATTTTTTACGTATATCTTCACGATTATATTCTTCGAGTAAAAAAAATTTGTAGGCTATTGCTCAAAACCTCCATGTGGCGTAAGCAGAATACGTATACAGTTGACAAGCGACGTGCCTTACAAGGGAATGGTAATTTTGAAGTCCGTATTTTACTGGGAGCCAACTATACGTACGTACAATTATGCTATGTCGTTAAATGCAGGCATGTGTTGGTAGTATGTGGTTGTCCATGAGAAATAGCCGTCAAACAATTTATTTCATCTGTTTTTCCCATTTTTTTATAGTGAAGCCGCCTTTTACGGATTACACATGGAATCGCGAGTTTATAAGGCTGGCGTCTGCTCAATCATCTTGCGCCGATCACTTTACAGCCACTGCTATCCAAAATGAGAAAAAAAGCCTCAAAGAGCAGGTGCGTATCTTCATTACATTACCAAATACGAATATATAAACGCTATTTTTCACTCAGGCCCTACTTATAGACGTATCTATAGAGAAGAATAAAATATTTCATAATATATTTAAACAATTTAAAATACAAATAAAATTTTTAAAAAAATGCTAGCTAAATCCATCATGCATAACATACTTCCTCTCTGAGTTTGCACCTATTTCTTAATTGATTCATATTTCTAACGTGTATCAATTAAGTAAGCAATCAATATGAACGCTAAAGCCCGCCGCACACGAGAGCTATCAGCTGAGCTAACGACCTCGCAAGGCAGTAAGCTCAGCCCGAAAACTATCCGCACACGATAATAACTTGCTGAGCTAACAGCCACGCGAGGTCTTTAGCTACCTCAACTAATAGCTTTCGTTTGCGGAGGGCTTAACTAGACCATCAACCCCTGTATGAATCATAACAATTGCTCTGACTTTCCGATTTTTTGTCGCTGTGCACTAGCGTAAATAACCAAAACATCTCCGTCCTTTACATTTTCTCCATGATGAAACCATTCCTGTATAGACCTTTTTCAAAATGACGTCAGACGCGAAAAGCCTGGATGATGTTACGCATGCAAAGTGTGCTTGGCTCGTTTTTCGGAAGCAATCAAACGTGTAACGGGGGTAGTCAAGGGGGTAGTTGTATGAAAGACTATAACTTGTATTAACTGTAGTTAAGGACAGAATTGGCCAGTCAGTGTTGTGTATCTCTGAGATAACTAGGATTTAACTTTGCAAAATGTAGTTAAAGAGTTTTATACAACCGGCCCCAGACTTTTTGCATTTGACCTCATTACGAGAAATCTGTTTGGATTAATTGAACGACGTATATTTTGTTTTTTAGGATATTTTTACCAATAAGAACCTTACGACATACACTCCTACTAAAGACCTAGCCCTTTATTACGACTGTTGGTACTTCTTTCAGGTAAGAGTTTAAACGCTGTAGATAGATATCCGTGTACCTGGAGCCATCTACGTGTACAGACATGCACAAAGCGTAGTGGGGCTAGAGTATATTCTAACGACCACTAGGAAAGTGAGCTTTTGCGTATAGCTAAGTAGCACCTACTATAGCATTGCCAGAGTGCTCAACAACACCGAAGAATATAAAAAAAAGATGCTGCTTAAGTAGCAGTCTTTTCCAAGTAAATTTCGAACACATGCATGCACGTATGTTGCCACAGCAACGGCCGATCTGTTACTAATCTTATTGTGATTTAATAGTTGGAAATAAAAAATCTACGAAATCCAATGTCGGTTGAAAATTTATAAATGTGTACGTGTATTAAGTATTAAGCGCCTGTTTTTTTGAAAACTGCATTGAGCCAAACTGCATTGACAACTATTTTAAACGAAACATTTCAAATTCAAATCCATGGCCATGCATGGGCATGGGCATGGTTTTGTATGCATATAAGCATAGTAGGTAAATATGAGTTATGTATACTAATTAATGCGTTTTTTCCCGGTAGTTGCATTTACAACCTAACCATTTCTCGCGAAAAGAATTTGCTGTGAGAAAATGGACATTTCATATACCTGGTATAAATAAATCATTATAGATTAGTTTTAGAATATTTCTTTCTATAAATATACAGGGTGAGTAAAAAAAACTGACACCTTTGAAATTCAAATTAGCAGCGAACTTATGGCTGGAATATGACAATTCCCATTGTGTACAATCAACAAAAACGATTTAATAAAACTGTTCTTTTGTATTTACAGAGCTTAGAATGCATTTTAACTCCCAAGGGGAACAAACTTTATGTTTTAGGTTAATTAATATGATATACTTCGTATACCAATGAGATATTTTAGGCAACTTCTGTCACATTACAGCCACTATGCGGCTAATTTGAATTTCAAAGGTGTTCAGTTTTTTTTACTCACCCTGTATAATCCGTCTAATTACAAATGTGAATTTCGAAAATTGTGGCCATTGATTGAAAATTGACATGAAAATTGACCTGAGATTATCAACTATATACCGTCTATATACGTATTAACGAGTTTATATATAATTGAAATATATATGAGACCGACGTCCACCGTCGTCTACAGGATGTATAAGCAATACTTGATATTCGTGTTGTTATTTAAAAGCACAATAGTACAATAGTACTTCTAATTTGTAGCTTACAGAGTGAATATACTTTGTATACAGGGTGAGTCAGAAAAAAGTCCCCTCTATTGAAATCAAGCCTTTGTTAGAATCTGATTGCCTTAATATTATGATAAACCCAATTGAAAGCAAGACGCTTTATTTGAATGCCTCAACCTAATAACTATGCTATTTACACACTACTGCGTTGATCATGCATTCAAATCAACAAAGGCTTCATTTCAATAGGGGGGACTTTTTTTTGACTCACCCTGTATGGGCCGAGTACGCGGGTTAATAGGTTGTTTTTATTATATATATGCGTGGAGAGATACGCACTGTAGAATTAAAGAGAGATACGTCATGACTATCGAGAGCGTAAGATTTTTATGATATAAGATTTTTAAAAATCACGATAACAGTCAACCATTTGACTGTTCATCATTTGTTTACTTTTTTTGCATGTATAGAAATAAATTTGACAATAACACGCTTTTAAATATAAAAAGATGCAGCAAGCAACAAGAATTGAAATTTTTATGCATCAAAAAAATATTTACGACCGTTCATTTTTTTGATAATTTCATGCTATTGAAATTGGAAGCTCTTTTCGAGACGTTTTATTATGTTTGGATGTAAAAATGTCCTGAAATTTGAGAAGCATCTTTTGAACCTCACTGTATTTCGAGGCTATCTTGTAAATGATTATTAGTTATTATTATTGCATGCATTTAGCATTTTTTTGAAAGTTACTTTTTTTACATGTAATATACTGTATATCGTGGTCCGCATTATATTCACTTATTTTTAAATCAATTGTTCATTTCTACGGTCAGTGAACATGGATATATTAATAATCCCCTTTTAACCTTGTCCTCCGTACGATGTTTCAAGTTTACATAAGAAGTAAAAACTCGACTTACCTAATATGAAAAAGTATAAATGTTCTGTAAAAGAGGGTGGAATTTAATGGGTCGTACATGTAAGCAAGTCTTGTATTTCAACGAATCGATTTATTTGACAGAACATTCATCTTCCACCATGCAATTTTCCGACCTTCCCCGGTTCCTCTTCATATAAATCAATTGAATTGTATTACAGCTAGTAAACACAATTTAACATAAATTATACATTTCAGATTGCATAGTTGTCAACGACACTAAAATTTGTGGGTGTCCATGTAAGAAATCATTGCACATATATCATTTTAAAATTGTGTAAAAATTGTCAAGTTCGTATTGTTTTAGAAGCATGCAATTATGTGTGTTAGATATGCAGACAGTTTGTCATATAGAAATATGGCAGTTCAGATTGTAACCGTATACGCATATATATACTTGCGACGTGACCATCATGCACTATTGCTTATAATATACGATATGTCTGCCTTTATATGCCTTATGACATTAAGTCTGTTATCTAAATGTTAGAAAAATTTAATTTTGTTGTTTTTTCCCCGACCATGTATATAGATGTTCCCATCCAAGATGACAAAAGGCATCACGTTTTGAATGTAACCATTGCGTCATCAAACACTTCGTTGATCGCTCATGTAAACTGGAATGATAATTTGTGGCGGAATGATGTTGATGTCAAATACTATTTAATCGAACTTTACGATAATGACATCGGTACATCTCTTTACATAGAATATTACGACGCTCACGCAAACGTAAGTGCATATATGCAAACGTTTTACCAAAGCGACAAATGTCTGTAGTATTGCATGCGCTTATGCCAAGAAGTCTTTCTTTCAGTACATGCAATTGTTAATTTTACGGTTATGTTATTCTAATTTTTGAAGTTGTGCAATCTTTACTATAGGTTCACAACTATAATGCGTCGTTCAAATTGAAGGCTGAACAAAGAAACAAAAAGCATCGAATTAAGGTATAAGTATATTCAGCAATATCCTGCGAATATCCTTAGAATTTTTTTCAATCCTCCGAAGTAAGTGGTTTTCCACGCGGCCTTACACGATATACGATAAGTCCTGATTGCAACGAATATGTGATCAGGATATTTTGTATACTATACAAATTAAGGTGGTGTTACACTATGCAAGTTTGCTTGCAATTAATTCCAATTAATGCAATTCTACTTTCGAGACATATAAAGTTGACAAATACTGACAAATTCTCAGCATTTCAAACACTCTTCACTAAATAACATCTTTCAAAATTATAATTGCATCGCAAGTTGCAAGTAAAATTGCATGGTGTAACATCGTCTTAAGGGCGTCAAAGCAATATTTTCATTCATGCCTTAATGACGTCAGCTGTAATGGTCTTTAATTTAGTTGACAGCATTTCACCGTGATCACTGCAATCATTATTTGACGGAAATTGTACATTTTTTTGGTAAGAATAAATTATAACTTTACAGGTTTGAGCTAAACGAAAATGCTTGAATGCATGCATACATATATACAGGGTATCAGAAAAAAGTTTACTCTTGGGAAATGTCTTTTAGACCTACGCTCACGGCTCACGTAATATATAGTTAGGGAAATCGTTTGGCATGTGTAGGTATAGTTTGAGCCCTACACACACCTCCTGTACAGAAGTTCGTAAAAAACTGCATGTTTTTGCAAGTTAAAAAAACGGGTTTCAGCAGTCAGAAATCTCCATATCTCAAAGTTTTTTTGTGGGCTTGTCCACAGCTGCGTAATATATTTATAGTTGTAAAATGCTTTATAAATCCTTCTTGATGATCTTCAGCACAGTTCGGAATGCACGTTTTTCATGAATCATTCGAATCCGCAGGTCTTGCATGTTTATATAACAAAGTATGTGTGCATGTTATAATTGTTTTATGCATGTGTTATAATTTTTTGTTATATATATATATATTATTAAAGTTTCAGATAAGTTGGTGCAAACGGAAGCGAGCGCGCGAGGTTAAAAAATATTTTTGCGTTTTAACTTTTAACAAACTTTCTGTACAAAAGGTGTCCGAAGTGCTCAAACTACGTACACATACCAAACGATTTCCCTAACGATGCGTGAGCGTATACGTCTAGAAGATATTTCCCAAAATGTAAACGGAGATGTAAAGTGTAAATGTAAAAGGAAATTTTCACCTCAAAAAAAATGTTTATGGATATAAAGCTTTGTATATTATTCAGTTGTTCTCCAATTCATTGTCTACTCGCCAATTAAAGGTGACGGTACATATTATCGGGTACATGTTTTTCCAGCGAAAGAACCATGTTTGAACGCAACATGTCGAATGAATAGCACTTGTCGTCCAGATTATTTTAAAGGAGAGTACAAATGCGAATGCCATCCTGATTTCAGGTTGTTAGAGGATAAATGTGTAGGTAAGTAAATATTTTTTCTGTTTCCGCGTTTCTGTTATTGATTACCTCGTGATATCTGCATAAATTTGGAGGATTCTTATGCATATATACGTAACGTTTGTAGACACCCCTTTAATTGTCATGCATGCTGCAAATTTCGCTCTGATTCAAATAATTGTTACAGTTGCCAAATCAGAATGCATAAATACCGACCATTTTCGGTATTCAAAAATTTAGGAATTCTGATTGGCCTAGCCTGAAAAATGTAAACAAGTTTGCTGATTAGCTCGAAACGAAACTCTTCCTTTTTACTGTTTTCAGATCTATGCAGGCGAAGACCATGTGGTGAGAACGAAACCTGCAATGTGGTCGATAGGAGACGAATATGTAGTTGTACTCCAGGTTTTGAAAACGTTAGTGGAATTTGTGAACCTGGTAAGTATCCATCAAAACAGACGGAAAGAATTGACGCGGTAGTTTTTGTCTTATCCGAGGCTCTTCATAAAGTTATGAGCAGGTTATTTAGAGTATATCCAGGAGCCAGTTACATAAAACACTATAGTTAACTTTTAACTGTAGTTAAGGACAGAATTGGCCAATCAGGGTCGTGTATTTCAGAGTTAACTGGGATTTAACTATGCAAAATGTAGTTGAAGAGTTTTATACAACCGGCCCATGCATGCAGATGTATAGCAACAATAATATATATTTATATCGTTTAGTGGACAGATGCAGGAATAATCCTACGGAATGTACGAGAGAAAATAATGGTAATAATCTATGAATAATATGTTTCCCGGCAGCTGATCTGAAATGAAACTGAGTTATCATGTGCCATGCAGGAAGCATTCTTGGTAATAATAGTAAAATAGACGCAAAATTCCATTTACAATTTACATTTTTATATACCTCTTTAGCTTCAGACGAAAACTATAAAGGAATTATTGCCGGAGTTGTCCCAGCCCTAATAATTGTCATAGTGATCGCCGTCGCAGTCATATTCCGATTGAGATATTTTCACAGAAAACGGATAAATTTCATTCAAAGAGAATTCGAAGATGCTGTATCGGGCAACCACTCTGGAACATTAACGAATCCGTATCAAAGTCAGTAAGTGTATAATGGATACTCTGGTATAAATTCAAGAACAAGTACTATATATATAGATTCCTAAAAACAGCGTAATTTATCTAAGGGTTTTTTTGACGGGTGACTTCGTGATTCTCCAGACAAACCCCATAGTTCGAAAGGTTTCTGGATATTTTAGACATTTTGTTTTACCATATTTACACACAATGCACTGGTATTATCAGGTATCGGGTAAATAATAATGTTTTCTCACTAGCAAAAAAACGCAATTCGTTCTTGACGTTTTACTTCAGAATTGAACTTGTCACGCTACCCGAAAGCAGCAGTAAGGAGATGAATTTATTGTACGTCATGCAAAAAGATCTGGTCATCCCTGACGATTTAAAGAGTTCAATAGGATCATTCGAGTTACCCGGTGATCGTGTCAAACTTCGTAGTATGATTGGCAAAGGAGCGTTTGGTGAAGTATACATCGGTGAAGCAAAAGGAGTTAATAATAACCCCGAATGGACGACCGTTGCAATCAAGACTCTTGCAGGTTTGAATTGTTTTAATAAATGCGTCATGATATAGCCGACCTGTATAGGACTATGAATGTATATATGACTATAAATGTTATCCTAAAATAATATTATAGTGAATTTGTCAAATAACGACTGGGGACGAGTCTGTTCATAGAGAATGACAAAAGATATCATTGATTGAATACTGCAGAATGGATTTTTATTTCGACAAACTTTCTGAGCTCTGTCTGATTGGCATAAATATGAGCGCGAGATTGACGTTAATTATTGTATCCATAACATTACTTATACTGTATTGACTCTTATTTACCAGAGTCAGTCAGAGAAGAAGATGTGCACGATTTTCTCCGTGAAATTCAACTAATGAAGGACCTCGGAAAACATGAAAATGTCATTCAGATGTACGGTTGTTGCACGAGCTGCCGTCCGATATGTTTGGTCTTAGAATACGCATCGGGTGGGAATCTCATCAACTATCTAAGGTCTATAAAAAAAAAGGTAATCATGATTGGGAGGTTATATACAAAGTAAAATTTACAATACCCCGGAGTATAGGTAAATTTTCTCAGACTTTTCTAAGAAAGCAACGCAGAGGGCCAAGTAAATATTCATATACTCACTGGGACTAACAAAAGGAACAAATATAAAAATTATAATAAGAATATAATAAGAGGAAAAGTAGGCTATGTTTTAATTGTTCATATCGGATCCAAAAATTTTGCAATGATAAATAACGCCTGCTCAGGCGAATAACGCCTGCTCAGGCGTTCACTCGGGCTACAGTTAGCTGCTTGAGCTTGTACGCCTAATTTTTGGTGTGAAAATAACAGTTATAAGACGTAATCTGATGTTGTCAAAGCGGTCGTGACATCCACGCGGGAAACGATCCTAGGACGATTTCGATTCGTTCGAAGACTTTGTGCCGCACACGCCTGAATTTCGTAAACTCGCGACGCAAAAGGAAATCCGATCCCATTTTTCAGCTCGGTCTACCTACGGTAGCCCGAGTAATTATTTATGCTGTCGTTTTAGTGTTATATAAATATCTTACTCAATTATTTCTTTCTTTTCAAGTGCAAAGAAATAGCGGCCGCGAGAGCCTACGCATTCATCAATTCTGAAAAGGTGATGTTTCTACTATCTCACCCGGGCTACTCATGCCCGCGCAAATTGAATGAGGCTTGCGATGTATAATTGTTTCTGACATAGAATACTGTCAACGTTTGAAATACGCAAGGCTGGTAAAGGTAATTTTCGCATAATGCAAATGTGTGATTTTTTATATTATCATTAGGAAAAGTACAAAAAGTTTTTTGAACCCGGTGAAATGCCAGAAGCCTCCACCTCATTTCCTTTTGATCCATACAAGCGACCTTTGGGATCTAAGCCTGTGAGAGTTGATGAAGCTGAAGGTATAGCATAAATAGAATATAGCTAATTTATTGTCAAGTAAATCAAATTTGCTTGTTGTAAAAACATATATAATGCTATTATCCCTTTAGCTTTAAACTTAGAGGTAGCCGCAAAAATTAACGAGGAACTTCGAAATGCCTTGGATCCGAAGGAACTGGAATCGTTTGCTCGGCAGATTGCTAGCGGAATGGTAAGCTATGATAGAAAGACATTCATCCTTTTAGAGCAAGTAGCCTGCTTGCTGGCATCTAGGGACAGGGAGCTTCTGTACGCAGGCGATAAAAGATGTCTTAAAATAAATATCACCCGCGCGCAACCTATAGTATCCAGGGTTTTACACAGTCGCCGGTTTGCTTTGAAATAATCTTTTTGAAATGAATTTAGGAACATGTCGCTGGGCTTGGAATCGTTCACCGTGATTTAGCAGCAAGAAATATTTTACTTGACAAAAGCAAAGTGCTAAAAATATCGGATTTTGGTTTGTCACGTGAAGGAACGTACGTTAAGCAAACTCACGGAAAGATTCCATTCCGCTGGCTATCAATTGAGGCTATCATAGAAAGGTTTTACTCCACTGCCAGTGACGTGTAAGTACAGTATATTACCATTTTACATGTTTAGGCATTCTGTGATGGGCCTAAAAACGTAAACAAACTGGCAGAATAGTTTAAAGCGAAATTCCTTCTTGTTTGCCAGTATTATCTTCTCATCCGCCACGCATACACGTTGGTCGGTCGGTTTTTATACACAATATTGTCAATAGAAACCTGAAGATGATTTATACGACCCTTTCTCAGTTTCAATTTATTATTGTCAGGTGGGCATTTGGCGTTGTGTTGTGGGAGATTTGTACATTAGGTGAGTAGATTATAGAATTATAGTTTTCTGCGATGTGCATAATTCGACTGATGGTTATCGTTAAAACGTGAGAGAGAATTTAATTTTGCGTCTATTGTATCTTAATAAAGGAGAAGTACCCTATTCGACAGTGTCTGATAGGGATCTAAAAGACTTCTTACTCAGTGGAAAGAGGATGGAAAAAGTAGAAAGTTGTACAGATGAAATGTAAGAAAAGCTATTATTAACTTCTTCCACCGATCCTGCATATGAAATATTTTGACTTGAAAAGCGCTATTTGATGTCATTTTAAGTCGTTTAATGTCTTCCCATTACTCATAATTGGTCATAATTGTCGTGAACAAGTCAATTTCACTCATGAGAAAAAGTCCAAATGTACATTTGTCTTTATTTCTGTATTCAAATCGATCACTGTCAGTGACTGCACACACATAAATCACATCAGCCATTTTGACATTTTCGCGACACTTGGGTTGCAATTTAGTCACAACAAGGATGAATAATTCAAAGTAATCGGTGCCGGAAAAAACATTTGATTTAGTATTTTTAAGTGAAAACCCCACTGATAGTTTTAAGTCGAGGAAATATGCGTCATCCCTGTTGTGGCGCAACTTACATATCTACAGCAATTCAAGATGGTAGACATTTCATTCCTTTCGAGTTAGAGCTGCATGCACGTGATAATGTGTTCTGACTTACTCACTTACTCTGGATCTGCCAGTGCTTGTATGCACCACAAGATATCTACGGTGTAGTTGTTTAGAACTTATGTTTTTAGACTTATGAAAAAAAATCTATTCATTAAGATACGAAATAATGTTGAAGTGCTGGAATCATTTGCCTGAAGAGAGACCATCGTTTTCCGAATTAACAAAATGCCTTTGGGATCTTGAACACGGGGGAAACACTTACGTGAACGTTGAAGGATTTATCCATGATGATCGAGGTCAGGGTATGTGTATATACTTTTTATATTGCACGGATATCAAAATCGACCCAATATCTGGCTGTAAACTCTGAATGCGAAGACAGCGCACTGCAATTCCTAGAGTAGCAATTGCTATAAATAGTATGAACAGTAAATAGTTCCTCGCGAGACCGAATTTGACAGGAAAAAGAAAAGTGTTTTCCAAGAAAGGCAGGCCATCACGCCTATATGTAATTTTCAGCTCCTAAGAATTTACGATGGCTGAATATCAGCAAATAAATACGACATTTATACAATGTAAATTCTCCAGTCATGTTCGCAGCCATGCACTATTTAAGAAATACACAGCAGGGCACATTTAATTTTTAAATATCCGTCTTCGCTTGCACTAAAACAATCGCTGTTGAAAGAAATCTATCAGTCCGGCGTAAACCGAATTATGAACATGTATCTGCATGCTTGTGATTCAACTCAATACCCAAGGCCCTTTTTACTGCACTATACTGGGTTCACTGATCAAAAATCTTCCTTTGTCGTTTAGAAGCCGGTTTACACTTTCAACGTTTCTGTGTTTTTTTAAAGAGTTTTGTCTTGGTGTACCGTTTCTGTGTTTTTTAAAAGAGTTTTGTCTTGGTGTACCCTACGTTTATAATAAGCTCAGTGTTAATCGTTGTTATTTTCGTCTTACATATTTTCAGCGAATCCCATTTAAAATTGCATTTGAAAATTCCAACTCTGCATGATCACAAAAACTTTGATAGTGTAAACCCGGCATTAGTTAAAGTGTATAACAAATGCTATTATAGTCTCACTGATAGATTTGGCTTATCTATATTTCAAAAATCCTCGCAGCCTTTGTATACCAACAAAATTTGACCCGCTCGATAGCAATTTCTATAGCGTACAAGGGGCTCAAACAGAGGCGTAGCCAGTCGACGATTCAGTCCCACCACAGTTAATAAAATATACATGGTTTGGAGATCAATCACATAAAACTACGAAACAACTTATTAACTATGTTGAGGTATATTTATGCAAAAAATTGTACCTTTCTCATCACATGTCTATTGTATTTTGCACAGATAAACCAATAGCAATCTTTTAATTAACATATTTTTCAAGTCAAGGTTGCGGAGCTTAGCAAGACGAATGCTATTGGTAAGTTTGGCTAAAATACAATAGACACGTGACGAGAAAGGAACCATTTTTTGCATAAACCTGGACAATAACATTGTTAATGAGTTGTACAGGGTGTCCCAAAAAACCATGTAAATCGAAATCACCCATAACAATGTAATAGCTATAGTTTGAATGCCTAAGCATTCTGTTGGGACCAACTAGTGTATAAATAAATGTTTGATATAAGCATTTTTATCCATAATGAATGACATAGAATTTGTTTGTGTACCCACAAATGACATTTATTACCAATACGCTTTACAAATATGGATATAACAGCATTTAAAATTGTCCATAATTCTCTTAATTTTAAATCTAGGCATATTTAGCATTTTAGAAGTTGTGTTAATCCGCACGTGCGAAAATTCGCGAACAAGTCATTCAAATTTTAACAATACGTGATTTCAATAGTTTTGGTTTTTTGGGAAACCGTGTATTGTATTTTTATTTAGTCTCCAAACCATGTTTATCCTATTGGTGTTTATTGCACTCGATTTCTAAAGAATAATCAAATAAGTAATTGCTTGAAATTTGAATACCGGAACTAAATTGTCAGGATTTATAACTACGCCACTGGGCAATTTTGTACGAGGGTTTTTCCTCCTACGGGTACCATGCAGGTGTGCTTTGTCAAAGTGGCGTCAAAATCATGCACTCTTTAAAGCGAAGTAACAAAATATTATCGTATAAACCACAGGTGACGAAAGCCAAGAAGAAGAGGCAGAGAAGGTATCTATATATTAGAAGTTATAGTAAGAAAACAATTGTTTGAGTAATCATTGCACGTTGGCCACGGATATGGCGCTTTTCAAAAATCTTGCCGGAAATCCGAGGAATAGAAAGCCCGCATCAAAACAAAAAGTTGAGGTTATTGTCTAATATTGACCACTTAATAATTTTCAATGCAGTGACTCTGGGTATGCTGACAACGTGAACTGGTTTTGTATTATGGAAAGCGTTCAAAGCAACGACTGACGTTTACACCTAACTGCTAACAAACTTTGTGTTTTAACAGCGGCTATCCCAGAGTGTGCAACAATTAAATTTTCTACACTGATGTAAGAAAGAAATAGGCCATTGCTGATGTATTTAACTTTGCTGTTATTTTTCTTGTTCGCCGTATAAAAATTGATGCGTGAACGACCCGCATACAACGGCACAGCCGTTCAAAGATTAAATTTTATACCACAAACGTGAAACACAAACTGCGAAGCTGTATTTACTGTTTGGCTCAGTTGGCTTGTTCGGTATTTGCGTAAAAAGATTTGCGAATGCCCCATCAGATTGTATGATTTTACTAGATTTTGACTGTTATGATTGTGAATAAATCAGGTTTGAATAATATTCACTGAGAAACAGACGTTTATGTAAATATAAGAGTTTTAACTGTGCAGTTGAAGACAAAAGAGCGGCTTCTTTTGGGCGGAAATTTTTTAGAACACGTGTATAATTATTCGTATTATCATGCATGCAGCCCGAGCATGTATGGCTATTCAGTACTTTTCCAGCTTGGATAACTTTCATGCAGCAAGGACAGTCTAATAAAACGTTCAAACGGCGACCAACCTTATCAATCTATACCATATATATAGGTAAAAATGTTTAACAAGAACTTCTCGGTCGACGTTTAGTTGCTATGCATGTATAGCATTTTATACTGAGGCATATGTATTCATATAGATTTTCATTGTTCATGCTTTTCAGGACAACAACAATCTTCATGATAATTCCGATGCAGAATCGAGTCCGGCCGAGGATTCTGTTGGGGGATTTGATAACCGGGCCTTTAGCCTAAGCGGTGAAGAGGATTTAAACACAAGCGACGACAAACAATTGATCCGGAAGTTCAAGGACAAGGTACAGTAATATCGAACGAATATCTTCACCAAATGTCTTTTACGTTTAGTTCAGAATCCGACTGCACTATATATGTACACACACGTTCGTTTTACGATGTGAATTCAGTTGACAATCATGATCAATGAAACCATACCAAATTATTCACTAGGCCTATTAATATAAATAATGCTCTTTTAAACGACAAAGTTTTCTCGTCGGGAGGAATTATATAGAATACCAGGCCAATCCAACTCTTAACAGTTAATTAAGCTTTCACATGTTGAAGCTTAAGAAGAATTAAACACACTCGGCAACTGAAAAATAATCGCAACCCCCTGGGTCCTCCTGGCTTGATCACAGAACCCTGTCTGTGCTCTCTAGGGAATCCAACAGAAGTGACAACAAGTGACAACACTAATGACATTGCTGATCTATATAATATACATGAGCATAAAACATCTCTTATGCCCTGACCAATCAACGCCGTTAAGTCAATTCGTTTTCCGTGCACGCAAACTTAAACCAAGGGTATCTTAACCACTTAAACTATGGATGTAGAAATTTTTTTTTATCAGTTATTGGCAATTATATTTAGAAGGTCATCATGGATTTAACATCTTATTAAAAATCAAGTATACCCGTATCATTGGAAGGAAAATAGGAAAGCTAAAATATTTTTATTTTAATAGTTGGTCAACATCACATGACTGACTCGCACCCCTGGATTGAACGCTCTAATCCTTATTATTTAGGATTCTTCAAAATCGAAGGTTGCTAATGAAAATAAGGATCAGGTAATTCATGAAAAAGTTGGTAATGGTGTAAAAGGTGAGAAACATCCATCAAATGTCGAGTAAAATGCAGAACATTTTAATTTAAAAAAAAAAGAAAATTATGTCGCGGAAAATGAGTTGATTCGTTAGATTTAGCAGTATAGATGAACGTCGAATTTAAAGTTCTTAGTAATCTTTCTAATCTAAAATTTAAAATCTCTTCCTGATCTAAAATTTTATTATATAATGGGTGATTTTACATTTTCGATGCGACTGAGCAAACATATGATCGCGTAATGTATATAATTATACGATTCCATCCATGGCCTTTTTCACATGGGTCAGATTAAGATGAGATAAATACCATACTATTGTTCGATTAAATTAATGTCCATAATTTTATGTAGTACACAGGGTGTCCCAAAAAGTTCCCTCTATTGAAATCAAGCCTTTGTTAGAATCAGATTGCCTTAATATTATGATAAACTCAATTGAAAGCAAGACGCTTTATTTGAATACCTCAACCTAATAACTGTTTACACACTACTGCGCTGATCATGCATTAAAATTCCAACAAAAGCTTCATATTAATAAGGGGGATATTTTTTGTGACACCCTGTATATTATTAGATTGATGTATAATTAGTCTCGTCCCTGAATACGAGATTAACCCTTCAGTCCTTACGTTCTTTGTTGGGAGCCGCTGCGCATGCGCGGCTAACCGCTATATATTTGAAACAGCGTCTGCACGTCCCAACATAAATTAATGTTCGCATCTTCGACAATCGTCGAATGAACGAACGAATGACATTTTTCATAAAGAAAACTTTGCATGCAGTAGTTTTCCATGCATGCAGTGTTTTTAAAATATAACATGCAAGATAAATGGAACCATTGGCATTGAAGTGTTTTTTTGAGAGTAAGAGAATGTTGTGAGGTTCTACTCGTAGGATTTTTTCGTGCTGCAAAACGCTTGCATGCAGGTGACACCGTAACACTACATCGCATATTTTAATTTCTCGAGTTTTGTTTGTAGTTTGCGTCGTTCAGCTGAAGCGTCATAGACAGTAAATAATATTCAAACAGTCTACTATATCGTAATAGGGCGTCCGATGATAAACTTTATTAAAACAGTCCACTAATAATCTATCATAATAGGTCGTCTACGCGGATAATATGTGCGTCTTTAAAAATATGTAGCTAATTTAAATCCGGCGACTTTATTTTCTACGATAATTTAATCTTTTATATATGGGGTGTTTTGAAAAGCTCTGTCTTTGGGTCATCAGTCGGGGCAGAATTTATTATAATTAAGAGTATGGTCCGCCTGCAGTCAGTGAATGTTTATTCTCTTAAGGTAGCCACAAAAAGTCGTTTGATCTGTTTACTACACGAACTTGGCGGGGAAAAGTTACAAGTATTTTGCCACCAAACGTAGACTATACAAATTCAGCAACTGGAATGATTAGTTTTACACAACCCTTTTCGCTGACCAATCATGCGTTGCCGGATCGGGGACAACCAATGCATAAAAACAACTGAAAAGCGCAAACCAGGCTGGCTTGTATTATTATATTATTTTATTTTTTCCAATCGATACTGTATGTATTAGTTCTACACGTATATATACATAAAACGTACTTCGACTTTTTTCTATCTTTCAGAACAATCTTATTTATGTAACATGACGTTTTGAAATAGAAATAGAAATAGAAAGAGTATATTATAAACTGTCTTTACATTCAAAACATTCAATTTTACGACACGTTACGTCCCACGCAAAGAACTAAAATTAGTAAGCATCGTGCAGTTTAAGTTTTGATATCATTTCGCTTAGGGAATAATAGATATATTGTTTCCAAACATTTCGCTGCCCATACCAGTCAATGGACTAAAAAACATCCATCAGAAGTTAATTTGACCCATCCAACACCTTAAGATGTCTTTGAATTTACAGATATATTACATAGATCACATTTTCAAGGTAAAAGAATTATTTGCATGTGGTATCGCGTAGAATTTTCGTGACCTTTCTAGTGTTTAAATGTAGTGGTAGTAATTAAATGGACTACAACACTTTTTACTGTTCGATATTTGTTTTAATATCATTTTCGTATCCGCTGTTTTCATTTGGTTTCTGTGGAGTTGCACTTATGAGTGGTCCATCATGGTCAATACTTTCACCAGCGCTGTTATCACTCTTCAAATTAAAGAAAAAGTTAAATATGATTCAGTAATGTTTAAATCGATTAATTTAGTGCATGGAAAGTACTTTCATTTGATATAACTTCTCAAACAAGCCAGAAAAGGCAATAGATAGAACGCATTATTCTTGATCGTATTAATTAATTACATTGACGAGGTATTTTCTAAAACAATATATGGCCTCCACCTTTAATTGCAAATGATAAGATAAAGCGACTAATGCATATTCCTCTTTTAGATAGATAGATCTCGATAGATATAGATATAATTTTATTTATACCGGGTTAAACTCCTTCAGTGTAAAGACACTGTTATCAATGGACACCCTGTAAAGGGGCGTCTTTAACGGATTTATTCTATTTTTTATTTTTGTATTTGTATTTGTATTATATTATTTTAGCATTCGTCTTAACACTCTCTTACTTCAAAGAGAGTATATATATTTTTTTCCTCGCACTTTCCTTGTCTTCAATTAATTATTCTTTTTTTGTAAATAACATTGGTTATTTATCCAAGAAGAATGATTATTATTACATGCACACGAGGAAAAAATGTTTCACAAAGAATTTAAAACCTGAAAAAACGTTCGTTTTTATTCAAGCACAATATTTCATCCAGGGTAAATTATATGATAGTGTATATATTTATATACATACGTACCTCGCTTGTTTCTTCAGAACTTCCATGATCTAAATAAAAAAAATAAGTGTATTAAATCATAGATTCAAGTAAGCAAGATGTATCATGAAGCTTTACCTGCTATATATGCGTCAGTGCATGCGGAGACTAAATCGAGCTTTTCTATTATAAACTGGTTCGCGTCAACTCCGAAACACTGAGTACGAGTTTTCACATCTATAGCCTTAATTGAGCTGCACTGCGCTTGTGTGACGTGCCTATATGGTCATATTCTTTAATATTTCATGATATGCTTTCAAATCAGCGCAAATGTCCAACATACCTTCAGTTTCAAGAGATTGTTTCATTAGACTGTCTATGTTGACATAGATTTTTCCCTTGTTCCGAAGTTCCCACAATTTCTCGTACAGTGCTCCAAATGTTGGTCTGTCTTCTGGTAGATGACTCCAGCACCTGGACATTATCTTATATCTGAAAAGATGAAGTAAATGTACTTATCGAAGTAAATTGTTCTTATATTTTTCACAAAGCTTTAACACTTAAGCTCTTTTTCGAGTAGGCGAAGTTTTTCGCTGCTTTGGGAAAGCAATACATTTGTTTTCCCAAAGCACAGAAAAAACTTGTGAATAAAATACATATCATCTTACATATCATCCGTGCAGTTTTCAACTTTCTCCAATCTCTTTCCACTTCGTAGGAAATCGAGGAGTTGCCTGTCCGAGACTCCAGAATAAGGTATCTCCCCTTTTAAAGTAGAATAAAACAATGCGATCGCGATTGCGAAATTTTAACACAGGGATGATATACCTTGGACGTAATTTAGCGCTAAAAAAGGCCTGTTTTTCGGAGGCCAACATAGGCGGTGGTTTTTGGTGCATAGAAATTTCATATAAGTGTGTGGGCTACTTGTGAGCTCATTCATTGAATAGCTAAAACGTTGGTTGGGATAGTTTTTTAAGAATAGTGACGTAATTGGATACCTCGCGCGTCTGAAGCTTGTGAATAATGACAAACTCATGACCAGCAATAGCCACTGAATTAGACTACAGTTCCAAATGTGTTTGTTGCTTCTTTAGTACACAGTTGTGTAAGTTTTTGTTATGTTCGGTTAACAATCTAAACTTTTCACTGCATGTCTATTAAAATTTTAGGCGAAATATTTTTATCACTGCATACATATAAAAGCGTACAAGTTCCTTACCCAATGTGCATATTTCCCACAAAACAACTCCAAACGCCCAGCTAAAAATACGGGAAAAAACATTAAAAAAATGCTAACGAATTCTGCCACTGTAGTTCATAAAAGTGAATTTTGCTATAAGCAGTGTTCGTGAATACGCCATACAAATACCAAGTATATATGTATATATCCGTTGCGATGCAAGGCGCATCTAATTTATATTCTTTTATTTACCATAAGAAAAAGTATTCCACGCAATTAGAATATAGGAAAAAAGCATGCAAATTAGGGTAGCGTGATAACCCGTATATGTAATAAAATGTAATAAACGAGTATATGCTTGAGTCGAAACATTAACCCGCGGTACCGAGTTTCGCTTGTTAAATGACAATATCTCGGAACCGGAATAAGAGTTCATATAGCTATACACTCACACGTCACTGGCGGTAGAATAACTTCGTTCTTGTATTGCTTCAATTGCCAACCAACGGTAAGGAACTTTCCCGCTAGGTTTTTGCACGTATGTTTCTTCACGTGACAAGCCAAAATCTGATATTTTCAATATTTTGTCTTTGCCAAGAAGTATATTCCTTGCGGCCAAGTCACGATGAACGATGCCATGGTCAGAAATATGTTTCTAATTTAGATAAGAAAATTTTTACGAGATTTAACCGGTAAACATTCACCTAAAATGTTTTTTGTTGATAAAAAATTGTCAGGATGATACATTTTTGAGTTTATCATTACCATCCCAGCGGCAATTTGATGCGAAAACGATTCTAATTCCTTTGAATCCAAAGCAGCTCGAATTTCCTCTTTTATTCTGATCGAGATCTCTGCATGGAAATCTTCTGCATGATCGTTGGTAGAATTCATCACTTTGTCTGACTGCGCAGCCACGATATCTTTACACTTTAAAAGAAAAAAGAAGCCGCCTTGACGTTAACTCTGGTGGATGTAGCTGTCGTCGCAAGCATCGATAAGCGAGGTGGACATATTCATATATACATGTTCACAGACCGTAAAACAAACAATTTGAAAATAAATGAATAATGTAAAACACGAATATATGAATATGTCCACCCCACTTATCAAGCTGGTGAAGCCACTGGATGTAAATCGGGTACTTTTTATTTTGTCTGAGATCTGGAGGTTTGTAGGTCCAAAAAGACTTTATGGCTGCAATTCGATGTTTACTTCAACAATCGACATAATGTTTTAATCGAACCGATGGTCTCCTGTGACGTAAACGGATGTCATGTTGTAAAAGGTTTGACACGACCAAACCGAAATTAAGACCTCGTGTGTCGCGACCTGAGGTAAAAAGTGCTTGTTCACACTATTTATTCTATCGCTACTATGAGAGCTATTTTGCAATATCTTTCTTATCTGATGTACTGATAGGTGGAGTGTGAAAAACAAACGGCTCGAAATGGTTTCGCCTGTGTACTGATAATGTAAAAATGGGAAGAACGAACTAACATGATACCGCGGTGAAAGTATTCAATGAAGCTGTAAGTTTTTTCAGCTTTTTTATTCCTTGAAAAGTTGTTTTAATTTTGGTGTATGAAGACAATGAAAGATAATCACTGCGCATTGCATGCATGCAATGGGGGGGGGGGATGATTTGTATAAATGTTAACGAATGAGCCGTGGCCTAGAAAATGGCAAAATAAAAACAGCCAATCAAGAATAACCCGTCGGCATATTTGGGGCCAAGAATTTTTTTGGAATCTTTCGTTTTTTTGGATTTCATTTTATTGTCTATACCCATGCATATACAGATGGCTAGAACATATAATTAGCATAAAATTTTTGTTTTTATATATACCTACCTTCTTTTTAAGAGCTCTCAGGTGATTGAGCAAATTTCCACCTGGTGCGTATTCCAACACTAGGCATACTGGACGACACTTTGTGCAGCAACCGTACATATTAATGACATTTTCATGTATCCCAAGGTCTTTCATTAGATCAATTTCCCGTAAAAAATTACTAAGTTCTTCTTCATTAGCGGATTCTAAAATAAATGTTAAAGGATTCGAATTAGCGCTTGATTAAGTTTTTAAAGTTTTCAACAACATTTATTTTTCATTATAATTTATTATAATTCATTATTATTTATGTGACAGATCCACGTTTTCTCTGAGTCTCCTAAAATAAGGCAAGCATTGGGTAACTAGGAAGGATGATATGGCGGATCTTTTATACGTATATAATAATGAATATAGCTGAAATTAACTTAACCTTTTAGTGTTTTTATTGCAACTGCTGTCACTTCAGGATTGCCGTTAATTCCAAGGGCTTCACCAGCGTATACTCTGCCAAACGCTCCTTTGCCAATCAGACCGCGAAATCGCACAGAATCGGGAGGAAGTTCATATCGACTAATCGGCTCCAATATATATTCTGGAATCTCGTAAATGTTGTCTTGAGAAACGTAAATCAAATTCATCTCTTTTGCACTCACTCCATCTCCCAGCAGATCGATATCAATACTATAATCAAACAATTATGCATGAAATAGTCATTCCGATTGACACAGCATGCTTAGATGCTGTAATATCATTGTGATGTGCCGTGCACGTGCATCTATATGTACCTGTGCAGCAAGCCGCGATTATAAATTCCGGGTCATTAGCGGACTGAACCAGTAATCTCGCTATAGCTACGTGCTGTACTTTTCAATGTTTACTAGTCGGGTCTTTTTCGCTTGCGCGCTCATCAATCGACGCAACTTTTTTTTATTTACCGTGCAAAATTACCGTATTTTGTCTTTTTAATGCGTATCTTGCATCTGAGAAGCACGTGGTTTAAAACTGGCCTTATAGACGCGTATATTTTACGCGCATCAATACTTAAGCATGGTAACTATGTAACTCTTTTAGCCAATTATATATGGCAATCAAAGCCAATTTAAAATTATTTTCATTCATTTAGCGGGCGTTCTATAATTCTTTTGTTACCTAAAAGCTATAGTTATTCACTCACAACTTTCATTCATTAAATTCATACTTACGATCGTACATTGATGATGCTCCTATTTGAAATTATAGTTTCCATAGCGTTTTCAAATTCTGTTTCTATAAAACTCAATTGCTTCTTGTGACATCTACGTAACCAAACGATGAAGATTATAGCAATCAGAATCACAGCAAGAGGCGTCAAGACAGCGACAAGGATAACATCCACGTTCTTACTTTTGGTTTCTAAGAAAATTGAACTAAAGATTCATGATACTATCGAGAATTGCTATATTATATATGTGTAGAGTGCGTATACCTGCTGACTAGTAAATTTGTGACCATTTACACAACAATGACCTTGATTGGATGTATCACCATGCACTGAATGTATGTGACTATTTTAAAATATGCATGCAAAAAAGTCTTATACTAATTTTTAATTTGACAATGTTTTTTTGTACTATTATTGGTCATCACAAGCAGATCTTACGATTTGTCATCACAGAGATCTTATACGAGTAATCATCACAAAGAGTTTTTAGATTGGTCATCACAAAAAGCTGTTTTTTGGGGGTCGCGTATACATATTTTAAATAAATTATTTTCGCACTGCAACAGCCATCCCACATCAGAACACGGCAAATTTCATCACATTTTCTAATCTTCCATCCAAAAAACGTAATTTGATAAAATTATCTTACATTAACAGTCGCGGCAATAGAAGCCTTCCGAAAAATATCGGGTAATTCATTTGCTCAGTTGACTTACGGAGCTCATCAAATAAAACTTCCGAATTGACCAATCATATGCGTCTATTTATTTAATCCAATAGGATTAGAGATTGGTCAATTCGAAACCGGAAGTTAGGAGTTATTCCAGGAGTTTTTCAAATATTTGATGAACTCCGTAAGCTAACTGATAAATTTGAGCAAATGAATTATTCGATATTTTTCGGAACGCTTCTATTGCCACGACGGTAAATCCTTATAATATAGTTTTTTTACCATGTTTTAGCATTTTTTGTTGTCGTATTAGTTTCTTTCTTGTTGGATTTTTACATCCTCGTCCCCAGGGCCTAGCTCCGTTGCACTGGCTCGCGCCAGTCCTAATCTGCGTCACACGTATAGCACGGTCGCTTCACCGCATGTGTTTTATATATATGCGCGAGCAGTGTCTCAAATTAGAAAAAGGTATAGAAAATATGATAGCGTATATTTTTTGCTCTTACCTGAAACACAGATTCCATTTTTTTTCACTAGCTCGCCTTTGCATATACAGATCCCTGTCCCGGTTGCTGCATTCGGTATACATTTCTCGGTTTTGTTGTCACAAGGGTAAATCACACATATATCTAAATAGACAGATCAATTTCTTAAATGTCATAGTAAAGCAAACAATATTGATATTAAAGAAGAAACTGGAGAAAAGTAAACAAAATTAAATAAGCCATGCTTAATAGTCACGTGATTGATATTGATATAGCTATTTGTATACATGCATATAGACATGGACAACCAGTTTTCGACAATAACGACGATGCTGATGATACATAGCGTTCATTTACATGCAGACTGTCTCAAAACACCTGAGCTTTTATAACATGCCGCAATTACGCGCTATATATCATGACTAGCGATTTTATTTTTATACCTAGCTAGAGGAATAAATATTTAGCTAAGGTAAAATGTGCTGAGATATATGCTGAACACCTGATATTATACAAAAAAGATATATTATATATTATATTGGTAGAGCGTTTAGAGTGCAATAGTATCTTGATCGAGGTTCAGTTGTTTACGAGTTATATTTTGCCTATATCATCCTACCTTCACAAGTTCCATTTAATGGCCTATACATGCCTTCGCATGTGCAGTTATATTTTCCCGTTTTCGCAATCGGTTTGCATGTCTCTTTTGGTCCACAAGGATTTTTCTCGCATGGTTTTTCATCTAAAACACATGCATAATGGCATAATTTTGCTGACAATTTTGCACACGCCAAGCGGAATTTCTCTTTGTTTTATATATATATATATATATATATATATATATTTTATATATATATATATAAATAAATAGAGTGCGTATATACCTGCTGTCTAGTAAATTTGTGACCATTTACACAACATGCAATGACCTTGATTGGATGTATCACCATGCACTGAATGTATATATGAGACTATTTTAAATAATGCATGCAAAAAAGTCTTATACTAACTTTTAATTTGACAATGTTTTTTTGTACTATTATTGGTCATCACAAACAGATCTTACGATTTGTCATCACAGAGATCTTATACGATTAATCATCACAAAGAGTTTTTAGATTGGTCATCACAAAAAGCTGTTTTTTTGGGGGGTCGCGTATACAAGAAAGTCGGAGCGGGCATTGGAATCTTAAGGCGTATCAAGGCTTATGTTCCTGCAAATACTTTGATATCAATTTATAATGCTCTGATTCAGCCTTACTTCGATTACTGTTCTCCGCTTTGGGGAGTTTGTAACAAAACACTGAGAGATAATTTACAAAAGTTTCAAAATCGAGCCGCCAGAATAATAGCTGGCGCTAGTTATGAAATCAGGTCTGCTGACGTTCTTCGGGCTCTTGAATGGGAAAACTTAGATTCAAGACGAGCTATGAGCAAGGCAACATTTTTGTACAAAATTCTGAACGATTAAAGTGCACCAAACTTGAAGGAGTTATTGATGACGAGGAACTCTCTTCAAACTAATTACGACCTCAGAAATTCTTACACTGATCTGGCCCTTCCTAAACCGAGACGCGAATTTCTTAAAAAAAGTTTTAAGTACAGTGGTGCTAAACTTTGGGAATGATCTTCCGCGTGAAGCTAAGGAAGCGCAATCAATATACTCTTTCAAATATTTTGTAGCACGACTTAATAGGTAGATAAAATCAACTGTGGGTCTTATATACCACCGGGTCACTCCAACTTAATCTCTTGTATATAGCTATTCTTTTATCTTATCTCTTTCTTCTTTATTTGTAATTGTACTTTTTTCATAATTATGACGCCCCTTGTGGAAATCAACAATTGCTGTTGACAAGGCTAGCGTCAATAAATAAGGTTTTACATAACATACATACATACATACATACATACATACATACATACATACATACATACATACATACATACATACATACATACATATTTCAAATAAATTATTTTCGCACTGCAAAAGCCATCCCTCATCAGAACACGGCAAATTTCATCACATTTTCTGATCTTCCATCCAAAAAACGTAATTTGATAAAATTATCTTACATTAACAGTCGTGGCAATAGAAGCGTTCCGAAAAATATCGGGTAATTCATTTGCTCAAATCTATCAGTTGACTTACGGAGCTCATCAAATAAAACTTCCGAATTTGATCAATCATATGCGTGTATTTATTTAATTATCCATAAGGATTAGAGATTGGTCAATTCGAAACCGGAAGTTAGGAGTTATTCAAGGAGTTTTTCAAGTATTTGATGAACTTCGTAAGCCAACTGATAAATTTGAGCAAATGAATTACTCGATATTTTTCGGAACGCTTCTATTGCCACGACTGTAAATCCTTAGTTTTTTTTACCATGTTTTAACATTTTTTGTTCTCGTATTAGTTTCTTTCTTGTTGGATTTTTACATCCTCGTCCCCAGGGCCTAGCTCCGTTACACTGGCTCGCGCCAGTCCTAATCTGCGTCACACGTATAGCACGGTCGCTTCACCCCATGTGTTTTATATATATGCGCGAGCAGTGTCTCAAATTAGAAAAAGGTGTAGAAAATATGATAGCGTATATTTTTTGCTCTTACCTAAAACACAGATTCCATTTTTTCTCACTAGGTTGCCTTTGCATATACAGATCCCTTTCCCGGTATCTGGATTCGGTATACATTTCTCGGTTTTGTTGTCACAAGGGTAAATCACACATATATCTAAATAGACAGATCAATTTCTTAAATGTCATAGTAAAGCAAACAATATTGATATTAAAGAAGAAACAGGAGAAAAGTAAACAAAATTAAAAAAGCCATGCTTAATAGTCACGTGATTGATATTGATATATTTGTACACATGCATATAGACATGGACAACCAGTTTTCGACAATAACGACGATGCTGACGATATATAGCGTTCATTTACATGCAGACTGTCTCAAAACAACTGAGCTTTTAACATGCCGCAATTACGCGCTATATATCATGACTAGCGATTTTATTTTTACATAACTAGAGGAATAAATACTATTTAGCTAAGGTAAAATGTGCGCGCAATAGTGCAATAGTTTGATCGAGGTTCAGTTGTTTACGAGTTATATTTTGCCTATATCATCCTACCTTCACAAGTTCCATTTAATGGCCTATACATGCCTTCGCATGTGCAGTTATATTTTCCCGTTTTCGCAATCGGTTTACATGTCTCTTTTGGTCCACAAGGATTTTTCTCGCATGGTTTTTCATCTAAATCACATGCATAATGGCATAATTTTGCTGACAATTTTGCACACGCCAAGCGGATTTTCTCTTTCTTTTTCTCACATTAGTTCTGCATGAAAGCGCAGAGACAACAATGAAAAATTCCGCTCCGCGCCCAAGATTCGATCCGCCTAGTGGAAACTGACTTTGGGCAAATCCTTATGCACTTGCCACTGGCACTGACCTATACTAGATATACCTAACTCAGTGTTCGTTGCCTATGCAAGTTAGGTATAGTACAAGTTTGATATAATATATGCATTGGCCTTGCGGACACATACCTATGCATTCTTGATTACGCATTACCAAACCACTATGGCATCTACATTCACTTTTTTTACCATGGTTTCCAACTCTACGACACGAACTATTGCTAGGACAAACTTTATTTTCGCATGGAAAACCGACTATAGAAGAAAAAGATCAATCACAATAAGAATGTGCGTCAAACGTGAAAAATGATAGGTGTGATCATGCGCGGAAGAAAACGATACGTGGTCAAGTGTAGTCATGCATGCACTTAGTAAAACGATAAGCTTTATACCAGTAAAGTAAAGATTATGTCTTTCTACGTGTTCACAGTGATGATCTGCGAATCCTTTAATCTAAAGAGAATTGTAAAATTGTAGATCTTTTGCCTAAAGCAACGATAGAAATTAAGACTACATGCATAATCACAAAATATTACGATTTATTGCCTAAGTCAAGGATAAAATCATTGTTCCCTCATGAAGACTACTTCATCACAAACGACATAGCTGAAATATATTCTGTTACTACCAAGTCGTGAAGAAAAATTGCTGTTTAGCACAATTAGGCAAATATATTACATGATGCATGTTTGCATTCAGGTACTGGGTACATTGTAATCACATAAATTAGCGTTGCAGGAAAGCGAAGACTAAAAACGTGCTTCGTTTTTCAGTCGGGAAAATTTTAAGTGTAAAATTGATGTACTTGATCCATGAGAGTTATCATTAATCGATCCACTCCACTCTCGGAATTATAGTCTCTGTGCCCCAGACAAAATAAATGGCAAAAGCAAACACAGGGCAAAAGAGGCAACATAAAATAAAACAGCTAAAAACATGCAGGCGGGGAGCAAGTAAATTTAAACGTGAAAGAACTGTGAAAGGAAAATCAATACTCACATATGCATCATACTTCTTTCCAATTGTTAGATTATGTGATGTCGCGTTGTAACTAGAAACCTGCGAAGATGCAATAGTGATCCGTGAACCGTACAATGCATACATGAAGTATTGCATGCAGTATTATATATATATAATAGAGAGAAAGAGAATTTGGCACGACCTCGTGCATGCATATTAGAGAGTAGATATCAGACATTGCATGTGTACACTCAATTTATCCATGATACTCGTAATCTGATCATGCAGTTATTAATATATTTATAATATCAATAAAAACATAAAAACATCGATCGCTTACTTTCGATGTTACATTGTAGTATTTCATATAGAAAGGTTTCGGTTCCGGTTTGGAAAAGTCCTCGTCACGGTATATCGTAAACGCGTGATAGGTAAAGCTACTCAGATTTCTCCAAATTTCATCATTCCAAGTAAAATGTACAGTAGCAGTTTTTTCTGATGTTCTTTTGTAAGTCACATTCATCTGGCCTGTCACTACTTTATCGCCACCAAACTCATCTGAGGAATAATCAGATTTTGTTTTACGTATATGGAAAAGACATACTTCCAGACCGAGGTCATTTTATACATCTCCCATCCCATAAAACATGTACCATGAGCATGTTCAGATATTTATTTTTTATATCCCAAGGAAATAAGGTTAAGAAGTAGCTTATCATGCATAAGGCATACACAATATATTTTGAAAGGAAGCATTTTTGTTCCCGGGTGCTTGACGTGTTTTTGCTGCCCATGCACTGCATCCTCATTATATGATGTACATTAGTTAACAGGAGTATACATGAAGTTATTTCATTAATTAGACTGCAGTGCAATTAATGACTTTTCTATAAAATAAACAAAATAATGTAATGTTTTTTGCTCAAACTAAAAGTCGTGCATGGAGGAACTTGAAAACCAGATAAATGAAAATACTGGCAAAAGTACAAAAATGTTCAATAAAAGACTAGCAGAACTGTATTTTCACAACCAACTCGAATTGAAAATTCTGTCCTAAATTCAAACGAATACCTTGGTGAGATTTTAAAGAAGCACAAATTCTATATCATGCTCATACAAAACAAATATTAATGCGATGTCGTTCGTAAAATTAGATAAAATTTTCAGACATCACATGGACCAGGTGTTATCAATGCCGATTTGTCTCGCCATCGCATTACTTGTATTTATAGCATATTTTACAAATCATTGTCTAATTTGTCTTACATTTTATCGCGGAAATCCAAAGTGCGTATAACGAAAAAGAATAACGAATCGGGTATGCCTCGACTTCGGCTAACAACTCATATACGATCTGAGCTCACGTTTATAAACTTTATATAGTCCAGAGCCTTGCATTGAGTTGTGCAAAAGACTAGTTAACCTTAAACTGTAGTTAAGGACGGCATTGGCCAAACAGAGTCGTGTATTTCTGCTTAAACTAGCAATTAACTATGCAAAATGTAGTTATATAGAGTTTTATACAACCAGCCCCTGAGGTATAGAATATCAAGTGTTTATCTTAATTACTTTCACATCAAATGCATGCCATTTGTATAACAACTGCCTAAATAGACACTTTTCGACGTTTCGACTTAGGAAACTTTGTCATTTGATGCAAAGTTGTTTTGATGCAAAGATGCACACTACTCCCTGGTTATATTGGAATTAGTTCACTTTATATTATCATCTACTTACATTCACATCCGCAAATAATTGTTTTACTGATCTTTATACACTCTGAAAGTAACAACAACATATGACATATGAATGCAATGCATCAACAAGAGTTTCGATTGAAAGAAAAAAATCTTTTTTTCTTTTCATGGTTCTGCCCATAAAACATGGCTATATATTTGGTATATGAAAACGATCGTGGCTATCAGTTAAAGAAAAACAATATAAACTGCCTAATCTTTTATGTTGACTCGTATTGCTTTTAATTTCTGTCGAAGATGAAATTCACTAAGATACTTTGTATTTAATTGTCATTCAGCAACTTCTAATTCTGTTATTTATACATATGCTAAAATTAACCTGTTGATTTGTTGTACTAAATAGTGTTAGTTGGTTTTATTCCAATTTATATATTAAGAAATATGTCTCTTTTGAAAAACTTTACACTTACTGGGTATATGGAAAATCCATTTTCTTTTTGCTAAGGAAAGCGTCGTTGCTTCGAACTTATCCACAGCCTCCATCTTTTAAATTGGAAATTTTATTATTGGAATTGGTGGTATATATTATTATTAAGAACTAGCTCATTTTTAATCACATACCTCTAACTTGTACCAACAATTATAATAAAGATGATCTTTTCCATCGATGACGAAGCTTGCATTTTCTTTCTTAATGAAAGTATCCTTAAAGGGAATATTTTTTATAAGTTTTTTTATGACTATAGGATAAGTTCATTCAACGGATATTGTATAATGCTCAACCGTTGTATGTTACTACAACGTCATCTATTAATTGAAGGTGTTCGATACAAAAGTGTAAATTCTTTGTTTGCAAAATGCTTGTTTGCAAAAAGCAATAATTTTGATCCTCCCACTTTTCCCATTTTTATTCTCCCACTTGTTTTATTCTGTTTAATATTTTAATTGTTATACAGGGTGTCCCAAAAAAAACGCAACCACTTAAATATGCAAGAATATTAATATTGTTCGGGTTTGCACCATAGTTCAGCTAAAATGACTTTTAGCATGGTAAATGAAGGATTAAGAGCCATTTTCAATTCCCAGAGGTGCTTATCTATTGCGCTTTAGAGCTGTATTAATGTTCTGCATATTTAAGTGGTTGCTTTTTTTTGGGACACCCTGTAGTATGTTGAATGCCTCGCATGGGACTTCGAGTCCAGTTCTTCAATTTCAACAAAGTTCAATAAATCATCTAAATCATCATCAAAACTGCAGTATTTCACCAAATTAATTCATATTATGCATTTAATGTCAAAATATAACAGTCTCCATTTTGGTATGCTTATAAAGACCACATCAAAACAGATGAAACAGACGGATTTGCATTTAAGAAATATGGAAATTGGAAAAACCAGAAATTGTGTTAAACACGAAGCCCGATCGAAGGGCTGCAGCTCTTCATCCTCTCAAGTGAGCAATTTCCGGGACGTTTTTCGAATTTTATTAGCGTTGGTATAACTATTTTTTAGAGAGTAAAAAGTATAAAGTAATATAAAGTAATGAAATATAAAGTAATCAGAAAACAATTCATTTGAGATCTGGTATAAGTTAACCGAGGTCTGGTTTTTCCCCAGCGCGACACGCAGCTCGTAAAAATTGTATTTGATATCTGCCAAAAAAACTGGGCCAAGCAAGAATATGTGAACGGTAAGGCGCTAAGCACCAAGTGTTTTACTCAATGAAGTAAGCATTCAAACGCTTTTACAGGTCCTGTTGCATGTATTTGCATTTTTCATTGAAGCGATTAAGCGACTAAAACGCGTCTCATATGCAATATAACTTACCAATCCAGTGTTCTTGCTTTCAGAGAATTTATTTTCGTCGTTAAAAATCTTTCGACACTCGCTTATTACTTTAATTTCTCGATGAACGCCAGGCAGCCGAGTCTTGTTTGTTTCACTGACTAAAATGAACGGAAACTTCTGTGCTTACATCGCATGTATTCAATTTTAAACCGACCATATATTAACTAACATGTACACGCTCTATTTTCTTCTTCCGGTCCGATATCACTCTCGCAATCTGATTGACTACGTGAGTGGTCAGTCGTCCACGCGAAATTGGGAGTTGAGAAGTCTAAAGATCACTGGCGCACGTAAGGTGCGGTAGGATTTGTGGCGGTCTCGTGTACTATTTTCAAAATATTTTTGACAATTTATCTTCAAACGAGTTTGACATGTCTTATGTAACATATATATATAAAAAAATCACACCGCGCTACCCCTCCTTTGCATTCATATGGAAATTTTGTGGGCTGTCTTTGTCAGCAAAATGCTTATGGCATTGTCATGCGAAAGACTTTTTGTGCGTTTATCATACGTTAATTTATCATAACTTACACGAAGTACTTCGCTTCCAACGAAAAAGGGATTTCAAAATCACTCTTTTTTGATAAGGTATCTCGGTTGTCAATTCCAAGCGGATATTTGTTACGCCACATGGAGGTTCTTCGCAAACTTCTAAAATTGCGTATAATAGAAAGAGTTACATACGCCGTTTTTTACTCATACTGTACAACAAGCTATACGATGCTAATATGTGAGACCTTTATTAAAGATACGCCTGCGCATTAATTTATTTTGTGCCGATTTCAAGAAATGCACATTCAACTGATAGAAGAATTTAAATATTTCATATCAGTCAAAATAAGATGATTATGGGAAATCTAGAAACAAAGTAGCGAGAAACACAGAAGCGAGAGTGTATTTATTTTATTGTATTGCAATCAGTATTTTATATTTTAGTGCAGTAAAGTGCAGTGCAATTATTATGCCTGGTCTGCCTCGTACCCATGCAGCCGCTTTAGTATTTTAGCCTTCTACAAGGGCTGTTTAGCAGCGCAAGACTGGGTACGAGGGAGATGCCTGGTTCTCCTCGTGAAAATGTCAAGGTGGCTGATGTTATAGAATATATTTCTATTTGTGTGCAGTGAACAATGACCAATTTGCATACAGAATTAAAGACAAATTTACAACCGGACTATTTGTCATTTGTCATTGGTGAAAATGACTCGTTCTCGACAATCACGACCAGGAGACCAGGCTTAACGCGATCTTATAGTAAGCTTCGATCGTTTCATGCAGTTATATATTTATACGCGTTCTTAACGCCGGAGATTATTTAGAGCCTCTATAAAGCCTCTATTTAGCTACGTTTTTTAACTTAGCACACCGTGCGCACAATTATGTATACAACGTAGACACCATTTCAAGCTTACCAGTTGTATTCATGACACTACTCCAGTTACTAAATGTTGACCATCTGTTTTGTTTTAGAGCAAGCACTCTAAATTTATAACCAGTATTCGGTTCGAGGTCCTCAATTGTATACGTTGTATGATTGGTCTGGTAGATAAAAACCCAAAGAAAAGTAAATTATTGGCTAGTATGACAAAATATTGTACGGCAAGACCTCGTGTAGTTGGTCGCGCCTTTCGTTGGTCGGGAAACGATCTTCCCCACTGCGTCCACTAGCTATACGGATTGGCTTTCTTGTTCAAAGTCAAAAAGTCATGAAGTCAACCTATTCTTTTTGTCAAGGTGGCTGATGTGATAAAATATCGATTGTTGCGTTTGTTGTTTTATTCTTTAATTTTTTGGAAATAGATTTATGACCATGGTTCGAAAAGAAGGTAACTTACAAGAAGGTATGGCTTTATGTAAGGAAATACAACATAGTGCTGGCCTCTCTCTTGACGACCCCATAATGGCTTCACTTCTAAAATATAATCAACATCGCTGTGGTTCTTCAGCTCTGTTGTATTAAAACGTACTCGTATTTTCTGCCACCCAGCTTCAACCAGTTTCGGTGCAACAGGTTTCGGTAGAGTACTTTCTGAACTGTTTGCTATATATATGTACAATTTAGGAAAAAAATCATCACTTTCTAACGTAAGCCATCGTGGGATGGAATTTGGCGAAGGTTTAAGGAGAGATTCACGGAATAATTCGGTGGAGTTTAACTGACCGTTTTTCACTAAAGAGCCAAGATATTTTTGGACACAATATGTCGTGCTGCAGAAATCTTTTTGTCTCTTAAACAGCTGTTAAAAATAAAGCGAATGTAACGTTTGTTATAAAGAATTTAATAAATCTAAATTCCACGCGATAATTTTAGGAAATAAAACAAACTACGACTAGATATATTGGCTAATTAGGGTAATTAGCAACTTTTTGAATTTTTTTTGCACTGGTTATTTTCTTTCCCCTAACCCTTTTAGAAAATGATATTTTAACCTTAACCAGATATTAAAAATTAAAAAAAAGTTATTCAAGAGCGGTTGACCACCTTAATTAACGTTGCTATAATGTAGACTAAAAACTACCCGATTTTTATAATTTGTGATGCATGATATATTCAGCTATGGAAATTTTGCTGACCTTGCTTTTGCTGCATGATCTGCGCATGTGCAGCAACGAGAGATGACAAAATGGCAACACGATTTTTGATAGGCTATACGAGCAAATTTACGTCAGGCTTTTCGCGTTTGACGCCAATGTGAGAAAGGTCTATTTATTGAAACGGCTTCGAAAGTTGCCAAAATACTGTTGTGTCAGTGATACTGCTTAGCGATCCTTCGGCCTTAACTAGACCTTAACACCCGGCACTGTGGAGGAATAGCACCGACAAAAAACTTGCACATGCTGCGCACCTCAATTCACATGCGCTCTATATTCCAAATTATAGGTCCGGCCTTCAGACAGCTGCCAGATGGTTTGAGAATTAGATAAACACAAACTACGTGTCGCTTCTCGCTCTGTAGAAACAAAAGAATACCAAAAATAGCCGCCATCCATCGACACCTACCCGCTAGTGACATGTAAAAAGAATGGTATAAGATAACTAATATAGACATTACAAATAATCGTATGATAATTGATGTACGCATTAGGCAACTTGAATCTTGAAACTGAAATGTGATGACAAGCTCAGATGCCTTTGTACATACCATGCATCCTCGAGAGAACAGACCTTTCTTATAATAACGTCAAACGCGGAAAGTCTGATGTTACACGAAATTTGACTGGCTGCACAAAACTATCGAGCAAGTCAAACTTCGTGTAACATCATACTTTCTGCGTTTGACGTCATTATGAAAAAGGTCTATTGCATTGTAGCTATTCGCTAACAGCACAATCATGAAACTTGTATTCTCATGCACACACATGCAGAGAGATTATGGAACTCTCTTGAACTTGCTAATTTTTTGTCATAAATATTTATAATTATGAATTCCTAACAGCTGTAACTTTCTTACTGGGAGCGGCTTACAAACACAAAGGCCGTGTGTTAAATTCAGTTCTGGAAATAACGTACATTTTGACCATTTCGATAAAAAATATGCTGATTTCTGACAATAGAGGGTCGGGTGGCGGGAAGAAGCCGAGAGAAGGGTTTTTATATAATTCGACTTTCATGATTCGACATACTGACATATAATTACTCTAACATTCAGAAGTCATCTAATCCTTAATTAAGAAAGCATTATCGAGCACGTATTGGAAAAACTGTTAGCCTTTTTCTTATTTTTAAAAAATTCTGCCATTTTTATATATAGATATATATAAACGGCATTTTCAGAAAAAATGCATATACGCGTTGCAACATATACGAATTTGTTTTATCGAATATTTATTCATTGGTGCATATATGCATGAGTAAATTTTCATTATTTACACAAAGTACAAACGAGGTTTTCGATTCAATTTTCTTCACACATACTTATAGCAGCAGGTATACATTCTGGCGAAAATCGAATCGCGAAGGTGTGCATTAATTCTGCGACTGCGGTCATTCAGTTATATGAAGTGGCTTTATGAATATATATTATAGGGTGTATTTCAGTGCACTTATCGGTGTATAGCAAAGCTCTTGTAACTAGGGTGTGAGACCGGAAAATATATTGAAATATCTATCATGTATATATTGTTCGATTTTCAATGCTCAGCCTTGTTTTGCTTTAAAATATAACGATCATACTGGAATGCAGAGTTCTGGTCTGCCTGAATCCAGAGTTACAACAGGACCAGTCTGGCCGTGTATGTGCCTGATATTTATATATACGCTTTATACATACGTCTTCAGTTACGGAAACGAGACGTTTTTATTCCGTTTTCACAGTGGACGAGACACGACTTTGAACAAGGATGCGCATACTCATTATTTTTTAATAATCGAATACCGGACTTCTTTATATACAGCTAGTCTTTGTATAATTTGGAAGACGGAAAGTTTACACTTGAAGAGGCGGAGTAACGGAAGATCGTATATACACTCAATGCAATATGAACATGCACTAGCTCAATGCGATTTCGCAATAGTGCTCTGAGATGCAGTATGAGCACTGCCAAAAAAGATTGATGAGAACTTTTTGGGTGAAGGCGCCCATGAAAGCAAGGGAGTTCGTTTGAATAGCGTTAAATTTCTCATTTTGTCTATATTTATAACATGTAATTTGTCTAAAAGCATCTTGGTATGTAAACCTGCCAGGCTATACAACCCTGGCAATGGCCACTGGCATGCTGCATGCATGCACAAGTCACTTTCTGTTTCAGATAATTTATATCACTGCTTTATCCTCCCTTATCTTGTTAATAGTATCTATTCATTATACATGTATAATTTGCGAAGACTTGCATGGGGTTGTATAATACAGACGTTTGAAGAGACGCCGGAAACGGAAGCGAGATCGTATAAAGTTATAAACATTCACTGAAATATGGACACTCATGATAGCCCACTGCATGTGAATTCGCTGTAGTTAGTGTTTTGACGTGTCTAAAAGTATGAAGTAAACTTTTCGGACAAGGGCGCCCCAAAGCGAAGGGACTTTGTATGCATGATTAACGTTAAGTTTTTTTTTGTCTAAAATGTAATTTATCACCTGGTATATTGATTGTAGCAACATATAAACCTGCCAGTCTCACTATACTCTTAAGCCCGCCGCACACGGGAGCTATCAGCTGAACTAACGACCTCGCAAGGTACACATGGGAAACTTGCCTTTCGAGCCGAATTCCTCACGAAAACTACCCGCACAAAAGAGTAACTTGCTGAGCTAACATGCAGCCACGCGTGGTCTTTACCTCAGGTAATCACACTAAAGCTCACGTGTGCGGCGGGCTTTACATGCACAAGTCTGCTTCTACTCAAGATATTTTATATCAAATATCACCACATTTTCTTTAAGTAGTATCGAGCACTGCAGTAGCACTTGTACTGACCATGGATGAGTATAGTTCATAAACAAAGCTTCACTTTATTCACTTACGTTCTTCTTGCAGTCTTTTTCACATCCTGTGATATTTACCTCCAGAGCCCCACACAATGCAATCACCGTAATCAGAAGGCGGAATACTTGCTCGCAAGAGCGCATCGTGAATAGCATTCCCCGCGGACAGTAAATGACACGCTATGAGCAAGTTTAGCGGCAAATGATAAATTCTAATCGGATAAACAAGCTTTGACACTCATTGGAAGTGTCGGAAAATGCTACTAGATCACGTATGAAATAAATTATGCCAAAATATAAAAACATAAACTCCGTTTATGTTTGAATAAATTTGCACGATAAATTCTGTTGAGAGAGAGTTTTGTCTTAATTTGTAATGCGTATAGCGCGAAGTCAACGAAATATGGCAAGAGCTATAGTACGGATTATCAGAGATCGCAGGATTTATTTTATTTTATTTTATTTTATTTTATTTTGTTTTGAAGTTTACAGACGTTTTTTATGGGGTAATTAAAACTTTGCTCAACGACGCTTGAAACATTTTCATCTTCGAACATTTCATGGGGCTATATACTATAGCGTTTTAGTTTATCAGCAAATCGTGTCCTGCTTGATACAGGGTTGCGTAACCTGAATTATATATATTATATATAACCTTTGGACTGAAGAGCAAACAGGAAATTATTAAGTATATTATTGGTCAGTGTGTATGGCGACGTTTTGACCTAGGCCTTAAAAAGTTAATATATATAATGAAGCCCCATTGTGAATTTGCCAACATTGAGAACTAGCAGGAAGAATCATAGATTCGTTACAACACCTGATAGTGAAATTTCATATCAGTTACATTTTTTATATAGATATACTTTGATCAATAATCATGACGGATATATAGCTTGGGTATAGAAATACCGCTCTTAATACTGTACATTCATTATAAAAATACTGTAACCTGAACTCCCTCACCTTTTCGTCTTTACAACGTTTGACACATGATGATATATTCACTTCAAGAGCCTCGCATAACACAATTATAGTCAGAAACAAACAAAAAACTTGCTGACAAAACTGCATCGCGGAATAAAATTTCTTCCAGCATAAATGGAGTAATTCCAGTAGTAGCACTGATGAGTCAATATGCTTTGTCTTCGACCTCTGGCTCTGATCAGATTATGTGGGCCAGGTCTGGTCACGTTCAAGGAACTCAGCTGTCAAATATCCCAATGATAATAGTTTGAAGTATGCATGCATAATCTCGATCTATCGAGAGTTTTGTTTCCGCAATCGACAACCTTGTTGCTTAAACTGGTGTAACCGTGTGTTTTTATATATCTATATTATATTTAAAAAAAAACTGTCCAGAATGTACAAGCTTGCAGTGATGCAGGGCAATGTCATTTGTCAACATCAAATTTTAATCGAGCGTTTGGGTTAGGTACGATATATTGAGTGTATATATAGCGTTGCTTAGGGCATTCATCCGAGATATAGTTTGACATTTTCCATCGAAAAGCGAACTCATGTAGTTATACATAAATGAATGAATTCAGGGATATGAGGGATAAAGAACATACGAATTTATATCATTTGTTTCTTACAGCGGGGGGCATTGCAACCTTTAATATATGTGTACTGTGTAAGCCTTTGTTTTTGAACCCTTTGTCAATCCGTTAACTGGAAGGTGAGAACTTTTTATTCCCGAGCACCTTATAACAACTCGCTCCCCCAAATTTTTAGACCCGTACACCTAGGGCAATGGTATAATATACCAGAAATAATCAGGCTGTATGGAGTTATACGGTATACGTAGTCTTGGCCCTGACCTTGAGTGATAAAATCGTGTTGAAAGCTTAAGGCTGATTTGATATAGGAATGTGTCGAATATCAGCAATACTTTAACCTTTGCATGTTCAGGTGAAGGCACATGTCCAGCGATGAGTCCAATGGTGAATGCGTTTACAGGTGATTTTTCTCGCTCGGGTAGAGATCTGACTGCGATTACATGAAAAGAACTGGCAAGTTTTAGACCGAGCAGAAATTTTTTTCAGGTGATATTTCCGAGCACTATTTTATTGGGTTTCATAACAACGACCACCTGAACTGAAGGATGTCTGCGTCAGCTCCTTAAATATGCCAATTTTAAAAATTTTCAAGGACCTAAAAGCATGAGGTCGACCAAAAAAATTTCCTTTTCGTTTGTTCAATGAGATGAAGGGGGTTGAAATTTTTGCAGGATTTTCACTGGAAAGATCTAAGCTTCTCCATCTACAGTGAGTCAATGTGAATTATATAGGTAATGTGAACCACAGGCAGATTTTATGTCGTATTTGTTCATCACAAATGGCTGTACCCTGCAATAACGTGTATCATTATTAACTGCGTGTCACTAGAATTATACACCTTTGTTGAGTGAATGTACAATTGGGGGTACCAAAACATGGAGCCCCCTTTTGTCGAAATGGACTGATGTGGAATGACTGCCTTAACATGAAAGAGACTCCAATCTTTGATGTCGGGCTCCTTTGCTTGACTATACAAATATGTATATTTGATTAACATACACACCGTGATTGACACACATACAATCGAAATTCATGTGTGAAGTGCATTGTCTACGCAAACCTGTCCAGCGAATCTAAATTGTTGTCCCACGCGAAGCCGAATTGTGTTTATACTTTCGATTAGTTCTCGTGTCGTTTATGAGTTTCGACTAAATTTCGTATCCTCCCATTAGTCGCGCTATTAGCAAATAAATCATATCCTTGTTACCACGCGCATGCAGAGCGTAAAATTATCAACTTGCAGTTGATGGAATTAAAAATGAGAAATGTCCACAAGAGCCGATAAAATTATCATAGTTATGCAGAACAACAATATTTTTGTTGCGAATTGCGTGTGTATAATACGTCAATATAGCAGAACTAAGCTACTCAGAGACTAAACAATGGACGAAAATTATTTCGAGTTAAGATTTGATTCTTAAAAACTATCAACATACAATTGTTTTGTATCGTACTTTTTAGCTTAAGAATTTAAGATCAATTTCGATAAACTGATAAGAAACTACAAGTAAAACAATGCTCTGCGCGCCTTATACTGAAGTGTTGGCAGCTTGACAATATAAATTTAAAATAATCAGAAGCTTGTAGCACTAGACATTAAAAAAAAGTTTCATTGCAATGATTGCATGGCAACGAAAACAAACCAGAATACCTGTGTGTAATTTGAAACCCTCGTGTGCTGATAAGCTTTTAAATCATGACGGCAAAACATTAATAAATGGACGTTGCTTGCATATGTGACATGCATGCACTTACGATGAAACGGTGCAAATATATTTTGAAAGTACTCAGACATGTGCAATTGTTTTTAACATTAATAATTCATACTGATTTAGCCCAGAAATATTCAAATATTCGATACATAGTGTTCCCAAAAAAAATCCCGAGCGATATCGATGAGCTCAAAAGATTAGGAATTACTATTTTATTCAGTTAATAGCCGCAATGCCAATGGTATTAAAAGCATGCAAGCATCAAGCTAGATTATATTAAATGCCCCAAAAATTCACCTTAACTCTATTTTATGTTTTATGATATTTTATGGGCATTGATATTTTATGATGTTTTATGGGCATTTCGGCGTCTTAAATATAGTAAGATCTTAAATATAGTGCGATCGTGTCTTCGGCATGTATTCAGGCATGAAACGATGGACAACATTCCTCAGCTAAAAGGATTTGGCATCTATTATGTCAATATCATTATGAAAAAATTCAAATTGGAATTATATATATATATATATATATATATATATATATATATATATATATATATATACATATATATATATATCTGAGGCTATAGGATACCTAGGACGTATTATTCTTGATCATATTGGAATAAGATATTTCCAATAGCATGATATATATATATATATATATATATATATATATATATATATATATATATATGTATATAAAAGTACAATATATATATGTATATAAAAGTACAATATATATATAAAAATTCAAATTGGAATCATATATATATATATATATATATATATATATATATATATATATATATATATATATATATATATATATATATATATATATATATATATATATAAAATGTGTAGGTTGATAACACAAGTAGCTGTATATAAAAAAAGTTTGTCTCGGAAGCAATGAAGATCAGACAAAGGATATCAAACAACACTAAATCTAATCATTTTGCACAAACGTTTTCGCTTTATTGAAAGCTCCTCAGGTGCTGAATACTTTGTAAGAAATGAGTTGTGATATCCTATATTTACATATTTCACTGGTTTGCCACTACGTCACTACACGTGTGGTGTTGGATTACTTAATGGTAATTATTTACATAAATATTTCACACAAACAAAGATATAAAAATATATAACAAAATCTTACATAAACTGCATGGTATTATTATTGACATGAATTTAAATCCGGCTGAAGTATAGTTATAATGTCTCTTTCCTTCGACTCCCTGACTAAGCGGTCTGAATGACTGTCACATTGATAAATCGGCATAATCTGGAAGTTGCCATTGCTACATTTTCTGATGTGCTCACTTACTGCTAAGTGGCAATATTCTTTATGGTTTATTTGCTGTCTGTGTAGCGTAACTCTGTGACGGAGATTTTCAGTTTGGCCGACATAAAAACTTTTGCATTTTGTGCAGAGTAGAACGTATATAACGTTCCGCGATTTACAATTCATCTGACATTTTATATTCCACGCTTTGCCGTTCTTCAGTTTGATATCAATTCCGGTCACTATGATTGCACAGGTACCGCATCTTTAGGCCGTAGGATGAGCATCCAAAAGATGCAATTCCGTTGCACCCCTCGTGGAACTACATAATTTTCACATGAATCAATAGATAAAAACTTACTTTATCAGAATCCGTCGCTCCCCAAGTGAAACAGGTGCACAATTGGGAAAAAAATCCCTCCAAAGTTTGCTATATTCGCGCTTCGAAATATTCGAACCGCCATTGTTTTAGTAGCAAATACGCATGCGCATGTCAGCCAAACTCGCACTGCGCACGCGCAGACAGGAAAAATGGATTTTCCCTGTGGGTTTTCCCCGATTTCCCGTGTAAAAATAACAAAATAAAATCACGGAATAAAGATCAAACCTTGTAATATTAACGAATAAATACACACACATTAAATACTACCGTTTGCAAGCTACCGTGAACCGTGTCCAATCAAACGTTTTGTTTTACGTTTAT